ACATGTTGCACAGAAAGGCAATTATATCATCACCACCTTCAGTATGTCCTTGTTCTACATATCTATACAACTATGGTCATCAAGCTTGACACCTGGTTACTGGTGAGCTAAACACTATCCATATTGCAAACCTACAGGCCATCTTCATGACAGGTTCAAAGTATCGAGAGGTTCCTTCTTACCTGGTATATGAATTACAAGGGTCATGAAATTCCCTATTTTGGTAAAGCACCTTAAGACCCTTCCATATATGAAGAGTATTTGATTCTACCATATCTTGATCTTGAGAAGATGATTTTTAAAAGTGTAGTCAATTTGACCCTTCTACCATATCTTGATCTTGAGAAGATGATTTTTGAAAGTGTAGTCAATTTGACCCTTTTGGCCCCGCCCCTCAGGCCCCTGGGGACTTGGGACCATATATTTTTTTGTGGACCTTTGGCCATGGAAGGTTTCTGCAAAATTTCATTGAAATTGGTTCAGGGGTTTTGGAGAAGAAGTCGAAAATGAAAATTGTTTACGGACGCACGACGCACAACGCCGGACAAAAGGCGATCGCAATAGGTCACTTGAGACTTTGTCTCAGGTGACCTTAAAACCTTAGCTAGCCTAAGCGGGGTTGCCAAAAAACGCCGGCGCAACGCCATCCTTAGCTAGCCTTATTGGTGGTAACATCCCAAAAGACGCCAATTTGTACTGACCACAAATTCAGAGGGTCGGAAGTGGGTGGGTTTTAAATATCAAGTTAGATCTGCTGATCACTATTCGCAAGATGGCTGCCCTCCCTATGAACAAAGGCATAAGATCACCTCGACCAATTAGGGGCCAGCATCCCCATTTACGTCATCAGCAGACAATCAATAATCTTCAATAAATTTTAGAAACTATCAAGGTGTCTTGTTCCATAATATTGTAATATTAATGTTGCTCACTTTATAATAACCCTCACAAAGTAATAGCAGTTTAGATACATTTTTCAAACTTGTTATGGTGTTATGAGCATAAATCAAACTAATTGCTTAGCTGCCTTTCATGCCTTTCCAACCATAACAAGAATAACTCAAACAAGAAATATGAGTGAAATGGCCACCCAAAGGGTGGCAATATATTTATTTTACTGATGAAGCCACCATGGGCTTATATCAAGTATTATGTATTGATGAAAAACAATTTATAATATGCATAGATATGCACTGTATATATATTATACTTGTTTGACAAGTATCTTAAGAGCGCACGAAGGACGACGCACATTGAACGACAGCCGATGACGCACAAAAGATGACCACAATAGGTCAACTTAGACTTTGTCTCTGGTTACCTTATGTATTGAGTAAGCCTAGTACTCTTTGCAGTCAGGAAATGCAATGATGTATGTAAACAAGGATCAAGTTATTAGATGCTTTGTCTGCAGACACAATAGGAAATGTATCATGCCGATCGTTGAATGTTGGTTAGAAATCGGGTCAAGAAATACCGACTTTTGTCGAACAAAAGAATGTAGAACAATAATATGAGGAAGAAAGGGTTATTCTAAGATCATCCGAATACAACTGGCATTTCCTTGTAGTTGTAGCGATTGAAAGCAACCGTTTTAGAAAAACTGTGAGATATAGTGGGTTACGTTGTATCGTCATGCGGCTTCCAAAAGATGAAGATAATTGTTTTTACATTGAAATCATAAGTCAGATTCCGAATCAGACGATGTTATACCACAGTCCAAGTATAAAAATACTTTACTATAAATACCTCAAGCATCTATTCAAATTCAGAGTGCTTCTTCATTAAAGCAAACTGTAAGTAAAGAAAAAGTAATTTCAGAATGACGTGCCTAACCAAAGAAATAAAAACAAACATAACTATCATATAGTTATACTTGCTCCTAGAAAATCAAATGCTGTTTCTCTTTTCTTTTTGATCTCGAATTACAATATTATCGCAGAAAGGATGTGACACTGAGTAACCAAACAAATATTCGTCAACAGAAAATACTCAGCCAGGGCCTGGACAGGAAGAGAGTTGTAAGGGAGACAAATTCAAGTCAGGTCTCGACATACGTCATCTAAAGTGTAGGAATAATCAGTGAGCACCATAACACGGCAGAATAATTCTTAAACTTTAATGTACATTTTAAAAATGGGCATTACAGGTGATGAATTAACAACATATATGTATGTCTATACAAATGTGGCAAATAAAATTGTTAAACTCGCATTGAAGCCTTTGCGTCTTAACAAAAAAAAACGGTTTGCCATGACCAGGAAATATGCAGAGGAAATTGCAAAAAGTCGATTCAATGAGGAAATAAAATATCAAATGTAAACAATATAAAAAAACGTATAGGTATGTAAATCAAAATAATTGATAAGAGTTTAAAGTGAGAGTAGCAGGATAACACATGTTCTTTATTGGTATAGCTGAATTACTTCCTTGATGGTTTTTTAATTGGAAAAAAGTATCCCTACACATCGATACTTTAACGTCGCATACAGGTAAACAAGGAACTTTAGCCATTGAGAGATATTATTGCGACAAACATATGTAAAATAACAATGACATATTATATTACAAGATAGAGAAAGGAATGAGACAATGTGACCTTACTGTTTTGATAAACCAATCGTACATAGATTGTCTCCCTTAGCCCATATTTCCAGACCGATTCTGCGTATGGCCAAATACGTGTAGTCTCCCAAGATACAGAGAATACGATGTATTCAATGTAATACTGTATAATGATTAAATCGAAAGGGGACACACAAGTAAACGACCAGTGTCTGTGTGGTTACATTTGTCTAGCATACATCAAATCGTACTCGTTAATAAAATAAACATTGTTTTTATAAATGATTGATGTCAAATGAAAGGCTAGCAACAGGGCATAATCAGCGTCGCTAACAAGTGATGGTATCGTCTGCTTACATCCCTAGTTTAAATAAATATATTGTGAAAAGGGGACTTATAAAAGAAACTGTGTTTTAATTTTAACAGCGTTTCATAATAACCAGAAACGAGGAAGCATCTAAACAAAAGACCGACACGAGGAATCCGGTTGTAGTATTCGTGTGTCGATGATTGTGGTTTGTGAGGTGGTTATACAGTACACATAATTAATAATACAGGACTGTTCCAGCCAGAGATGTTCACTACACGTGACATATGAAACCACTTCATCATGGTACAAATGTGAACAAAACCACAAACCGTACATATAAACTGACCCCTATGTAAAGAATCGTGTGTATACCGCTGGTTTGAATATAACGGATAAAAGAAACGGGTTTCATTATTCTACTTTTCCTACTAAGTATCGCAGAACCAATTAAAAGAAGTAAAAAAAAATAGTATACAAATAAATTACCTTAATTTACAAGCATCCATATATCCAGTACATACCATAACCATTCTCTAAATGAAGTTGCCTCTCTGCATTTCTCTTACACATTTATAAAATGCTGATCATCTCTTTAACTAATTCCCAACTATACATGTGTTAAACTTGCCTATGAAGTTATCTATTTTGTATATGTTTAGCGTCATGAGGAATCCTTCGTAAGAACCAGTATAAACGATTTACCACTACTAGTTACAAATAAATGTGTTAAGTGTCACATAGGAACATAAAACAATAAGAATGCTCCGGAAACACATTTTACACTGACTGACGTTAACCGTTTGAAAGGTATTTGACGTATTTTGATATCTGTCGATTATGTAGAAACGATTTAATCCTTTTAATAAATAAATGAATGAAACATATAGAATGTAGTAAAGCTCACCACACCTAACCCTGAAAAAGGTCTTATCCAAAACTGATCCAACGGCATAGGGTTTAATGTTATTAATTATGATATATTTTTGGGTGTTGGCAATGATTTGAAATGTCCATTAAAATTGAACTTTTTTATATTCGATAAATTATGATAACATTCATATATACTTACATACTTCTGTTTATAGTCGATTATTTCTTCAAGGGGAATAATGTTTGTCATACTGAAACATGTTTACTTTGATGAAAATTCGGCAGTTTTTCACACATGCTGGTTGTGATTGTGATTTAACAGTCATAACCTGGGAGTAATGCCTTTCGATGTCATTTTGGGTGTGCTGGAGGGGGAGGGAGAGGTGGGGATGAGTGTCATCAACACAGTTATAAACTTCTGGCTACGTGACAGGTTGACAGGAGTCCAAAACATGAGGCACAACACACCGGAATAAGAAAGTATAGCTCTTTAACCCCGGATTTTCCCAGACTGTGTTTTCTTTCCCAGGCAATATAATGTCGTAAATCAGTTCTGTAAACATTGATTCATTTTACTGCTGTGATGTAATGATATGACAGTGTATGGAAACCCAAACGAGTTGGTACATGTAGATGTCCGAGTACATTAAGGTGATTGACAGCAACGTAGAACAACGTTCACCATTACATAAAGCAACTTCCTCAGTAAAATAAACATTCAAACTTTGCAATATGTATGACAATGCATTGCTCAGCTGATAGGTTATTTTGTTACGATACTGTATAGTGGCGGGAATGTATGATAAGACGATGATAGGGCGTGCATGCTATTTTTATTGATATAAACAATTACATGACTTATTTGTGAAACGTTAAATAAAAAAACACTGTGTGCATAGTATTGGAGAGCGAAAATGTAAATTTATGCCGGTATCTATTTTTTGGTAGATACTAATGCCTTGTTTGTTTCGATGTGTATTTCTTAGTTTGTCCTGTTGTTTACATTGTACTGTATCATGCGATAGGAACAATGAGTGTAGGTTAGGCCTATAGATCGCCTCATACAAAAATTTACAGATATGGTATCTTATGTCCTCCGTACAAGTTTTACGAGCAAACGAAAGCACATGGTATCGAGATTTAGTCTTACTTTCTAGCCTTTGTGGTGTGGTGTCACATTTGACGATGAGTGCTATTAAATTAAGCTACTTTCCGGTTCGACTTGACTGGTAGGTCAACTTGGTGACAAACGCCCCCTAAACATTATATAAACACCCGGTAAACACAGTCAATATCAAACAGAAGTGAAGCATACCAAGGAAAACACGTAAACTACAGGTACGTTTACGTTTCAATCTTCGTTATGATTTGTTGTCATTTTTTTTTCTGAATTGCCGTACATTCTCAATGCAGTAAAACCGTAGAGATATGACGAAAATGCAGAAACTGGTGATATCTTCAAAAAGTTCATGATATTTGCCTTGTATGATATTCGGAGACATTGACTGCTTGCCTTGAAGATGAATCAGAAAGTGATACGATATGTATATTTATTAACTTTCCTTTTGATCTACAAACTATGAACCACGGTAAATCAGTAAACTTTGATCCCGAAATTCCCGACTATTAATACTATTATCTATTATGAAATCGTAACGCCTCAAGATTATATTATTGTGAGTGTCAAAAACAATATGCTGTATCATATATCAAGCTTTCCTTATATTTCGTAGTAATGAACCAAACATTAGCACAGGTATTCAGTAACCAATGATAACGCCGTGTACCTATGTGCCGCCATGCGAAATGCATTAAATATCTATAACAACAAGTCGTGCATCTGTGACGCGCATAATTTGTTTCAGACCAATGTTAAGCTGAAAACTGCTATATGAAATACAACATATATATCAGGGATGGTGGGGATGAAAGAATAACCATAACGTTTACCACAAAGAGTAACACTATAACATCCGGTCAATTTCATGTGCCTGCAACATTGCTATAAATTTCGAATAAGAATGAAACTGTACATCCCAACCAACCTGTACAAATTGTAGTATATTGGACGTTTAAGTGTGGAACTGCTTCAAATATTGTATTATCAAATAATGAACTGTGCTATCCAGTGAATAGTAACCGATGTATTATGACATATCAGCCCTGTGATTGGTTGTAAGTTTCAATTGTTTGAATTGTGGCGTCACGCCAAGTACATGACGTCACAGACTTACGCACTAGAGTCGAAATGGCGGCTTTTTACATTTCACGGTTGCATGAAAACTGTCATTTGACACAAACAAATGCCATAAATCTTGATTATGTGATAAAAAGGATCTTAGACTCGTTTTCATTTCATATGAAATTTATGAAACTCGTCACCAGTTTATCATTTTAGCTTGCCAGAGGCTCGCTAAATTGAAAAAATGTTAAGAGTCGTTTCATAAATCTCATATGAAATGGAAACTCATGCAAGATCCTATATGTATTTGTATAATACATTTGTATCTTGGTGTTTTTATAGAAGTACTGTAAGTGGGAACGCCTTCTTAATATTACTTCACAAGTCTATTCCCTATATTAGTAGCCCAACAGAAGGGAGCATCTTCAGCAAATAATCAATAAAATATATTGAAATGTGTCTGCCTGAGAGCAACATCTAACCAGACGTGGCAGGGCTGTGATAGATGATTGCCTCTGACGGGGTCTAATGATTGCTTCACCTGTGTGACTCATATCCTTCATTTAACCGTCCGCCATTAGCCTGTGTTCGCCATTATTCTATAACTGACGTTAATATTCCTCTCAGTCCTGTCAAATATAGTGGACAGCTGGTGTAAGACGTGACATCCTGACTGGATGTGTTTATAAAAGCGTGTCATCCTTTCTTTCAGATATTTCTGGATTACTGAAGATAACACACCACGATGAAGAGTTTTCTCCACTTACAAGTGCTACTACTGGTAGCCGTGTGCTACCTTGTGCACGAGGCTGAAGCACGTCGTAAGTATTGTAGTTATTCTAAAAGCTGTACGAATCAATTCTATAGTAGCCCCAATTAATTCCATAAATATATTACGGAAACCCAATAATATTTATTTGGACATTTTGAATGGAATGCTATTGTACAAACTTATATGTTGAACTTATAAAGCCAAGACGTGAGTACAAAAATACGCAATACTCATATATCGGTCCTGGTAACAAAATAACAAGGAATGTCCTAACAGCTTGTACAGCAATACAAGCGGCGAGTTTACTATTAGATGATACATATTAGTAAAAATATTTGGATGTACAGCATTCAGATGAATAATGTATTCCTGACAGCTTTACGGTATATATCTGGTTGACCATGTACATATTCATGTACGTTTTTTTCTAATTCTTTTTTTGTTATATATATACTTAGCCTTGATGTAGAGTATTTATATATAGACTTGGAGGCACGGTAGTCTAGTGGTAGGACGCCGGACTCGTGACCGAAGGGTTGCGGGTTCGAATCAAGCCACTGTGTTGTATCTTTGAGCAAAATACTTTACTCCGCTTGTTCCAGTCTACTCAACTGTAAATGAATACGTGGTTGGGCAGTGCTAGATTTGTTAAATGCTAGCTGTTAGCACCGAAATGGCAGCACCGGCTGTATGCTCCCCTGGAAGACGAGAAAGATATTGGATGGTTGCAAATGACCTATAACCACGGATAATAAATTTGTGAAACGCTTTGAGACGACCTACGAACTAGGTTGTAATAAGTTAGTAGTATTATTAAAGAAATAAAACAAAACATATAAGACTTAAGAATTAATATCGTTAGTTCATTCGCTCATTTTTGGGCTCTTTGGATGATTTGAATTTATTTGAATCGTGACGTCATATATAAATTTCACATATTTAAAGACCTCAAAAGTCATCACATCATACACAAAGTACACGTATTGCAAACATTTATCTAGTTCATCTGAACATATAAAAACACGGAACTTCTAAATTTAAACTTCTAAGAGATGCTCAAAAGTTCCTGCGTTTAGGCCCGGTTTTAACATTTAAATAAGCATGTTCTCATTTAATTCTCTTTCAACAATACATGATGTGGTCATTCGATAAATTAATAAAACTAAATTCTGATCATTCACTAATAAATTGTGTAAGCTCGCAGTTTTGTTTGCGATGCACTGCCATTATTTGACGTAGTTTATTTCTTTTACTAATTACAACAGATATTACATTTTTTTATTTGCAATTCTTATTGCATCGTATTTGAAATTATTTGACATTTTTACATTAAAAAGTCATGCTACATTATCTACACTAAGTCTCATACACTTTGTCACGCTGTAATTTACATTCATTTTGTCATCAAATTTTGATTTATACAGTAGACGTTTAAGATACTTTGGCTGTCTTTTGCAATAATTCATTTCTTCTTCTCAAAGTCAAATTTCATTTTTTCGCTATTTTTAAGTTTTCGTGAACTTTCATAATCGGGAACATGTTAACATTGTTATGGTTGAATGTAGTAGCAAACGGTATAATATCTGTTACTTGCATTGAGTTGTTAACTAAAATATGTCCCTGCTCCTTAGCTCTTTGAATATATGTATACACCTTAAAAAGCAAGTAGCCAACACATGGCTTGATGGAGGATTTACATTGCAGATTGGAGACGACGATGCAATGTACTTAGTGAGCCAGTGTGTGGTGTTGACGGTCGATCATACAGGAACAAATGTGTCGCTAATCGCAGGTACGTTAAAACGCAGGATTTTAAATTCCTGCATTACAATTGATATCTTGAGTAGCTAGGCGATGTAAAATGTGTGTGTAGGCGGAAGCTTGCGTTATGCATGTGCGTAGTGTTTGCTCTTTTTCTGTTTCATTTAAATAAATATTATAATAGGGTCAACACATTTATTTTCTTGAACTGTATTTAGATTCAACACTGAAAAAGAAGCTTATGTAAGGCAAAACGAAGTGCGGAATAATGACGATCTTGATATGACCAACAAACTCGGAAAGATACTTGTATCATCATAGCGTTGTTTACCTGGTGACAGAAGAGGGTGTATATTTGATTATAGTAACAGGAGAGGATGTATGATTTACTGTAGTAACATAGAGAGTCATGTTTTACTGAGGTAACAGTGCAAAGTTGTATTTTACTGTAGTGTATGTTTAACTGTCAGTACATATTGTAACAGGGCAGGGTGTATGTTTTACTGTAATGACAGGGGACAGTGTATGCTTTACTGTAGTACATGTAACAGGGGAAAGTGTATGTTTTACTGTAGTAACAGGGGACAGTGTATCTTTTACTGTAATAACAGGGGACGGTGTATATTGTATTGTAGTAACAGGGGACAGTGTATGTTTTACTGTAATAACAGGGGACAGTGTATGTTGTACTGTAGTAACAGGGGACAGTGTATATTGTATTGTAGTAACAGAGAAGAGTGTATGTTTTACTGTAGTAACAGGGGACAGTGTATGTTTTACTGTAGTAACAGGGGACGGTGTATGTTTTACTGTAGTAACAGGTGGCAGTGTATGTTGTACTGTAGTAACAGCGGACAGTGTATGCGTTACTGTAATAACAGGGGACAGTGTCTGTTTTACTGTAGTAACAGGGGAGAGTGTATGCGTTACTATAATAATAAGGGACAGTGTATGCGTTAATGTAATAACAGGGGACAGTGTATGTTATACTGTAGTAACAGGGGACAGTGTATCTTTTCCTGTAATAACAGGGGACGGTGTATATTGTATTGTAGTATCAGGGGACAGTGTATGTTTTACTAAAGTAAAAGGGGACAGTGTATGTTTTACTGTAGTAACAGGGGAGAGTGTATGCTTTAATATCATAATAAGGGACAGTGTATGCGTTACTGTAATAACAGGGGACAGTGTATGTTTAACTGTAGTAACAGGGGAGAGTGTATGTTTTACTGTAGTATGTTGTACTGTAGTAACAGTGAAGGGTGTATTTTTTACTGTAGTAGCAGGGGACAGTGTATGTTTTCCTGTAGTAACAGGGGACAGTGTTTGTTTTACTGTAATAACAGGGGACAGTGTCTGTTTTACTGTAGTAACAGGGAACGGTGTAAGTTTTACTGTAGTACCAGGGGACAGCGTATGTTGCACTGTAGTAACAGGGGACAGTTTATGTTGTACTGTAGTAACAGGGGACGGCGTATGTTTTACTGTAATAACAGAGAACAGTGTATGTTTTACTGTAGCAACAGGGGACAGTGTATGTTTAACTGTAGTAACAGTGGAGGGAGTATGTTTTACTGTTGTAAAAGTGGAGGGTTTATGTTTTACTGTAGTAACAGCGTACAGTGTATGTTTTACTGTAGTCACAGGGGACACGGTGTATATTGTATTGTAGTAACAGGGGAGAGTGTATGTTTTACTGTAACAACAGGGGCAGTGTATGTTTTACTGTAGTAACAGTGGGGGGCAGTGTATGTTGTACTGTAGTAAGAGGGGACGGTGTATGTTTCACTGTTACTACAGTAAAACAAACCTACACCCTCCACTGTTACTACACTAAAACAAACCTACACCCTCCACTGTTACTACACTAAAACAAACCTACACCCTCCACTGTTACTACACTAAAACATACACACTTCACTGTTACTACAGTACAACATAAACTGTCCCCTGTTACTACAGTTCAACATACACTGTCCCCTGTTATTACGGTAAAACATACACCGTCCCCTGTTATTATAGTAACGCATACACTTGTTACTACAGTAAAACATACACTTTCCCCTGTTACTACAATAAAACATACACGGTCCCCTGTTACTACAGTACAACATCCGCTGTCCCCTGTTACTACAGTACAACGTACACCGTCCCCTGTTACTACAGTAAAAAATACACCGTCCCCTGTTATTACAGTAACGCATACCCTGTCCCCTGTTACTACAGTACAACATCCACTGTCCCCTGTTACTACAGTGCAACATACGCTGTCCCCTGGTACTACAGTAAAACTTACACCGTTCCCTGTTACTACAGTAAAACATCCACTGTCCCCTGTTACTACAGTTCAACATACACTGTCCCCTGTTATTACGGTAAAACATACACCGTCCCCTATTACTACAGTAAAACATACACCCTCCACTGTTACTACACTAAAACAAACCTACACCCTCCACTGTGCTTTTTATAACATGCTCATTTTATATAAAGAAATATAGTGAAGAGAGATTAAAATACAATATGTATGTTTGTTTTACTGTAGTATCAGGGGACAGTGTATGTTGTACCGTAGTAACAGGGGACAGTGTATATTTTACTGTAGTAACAGGGGATTGTGTATTTTTTACTGTAGTAACAGTGGAGGGAGTATGTTTTACTGTTGTAAAAGTGGAGGGGTTATGTTTAACTGTAGTAACAGTGGAGGGAGGATGTTTTGCTGTAGTAACAGTGGAGTGTGTATGTTTGTTTTACTGTAGTTACAGCGGAGGGTGTATGTTGTACTGTAGTAACAGTGAAGTGTGTATGTTTTAGTGTAGTAACAGTGGAGGGTGTATGGTTTACTGTAGTAACAGTTGAGGGAGCATGTTTTACTGTAGTAACAGTGGAGGCTGTATGTTTTACTGTAGTAACAGGGAACGGTGTAAGTTTTACTGTAGTAACAGGGGATTGTGTATTTTTTACTGTAGTAACAGTGGAGGATGTATGTTTTACTGTAGTAACATTGGAGGGAGTATGTTTTACTGTAGTAACAGTTGAGGGAGTATGTTTTACTGTAGTAACAGTGGAGGGAGTATGTTTTACTGTTGTAAAAGTGGAGGGTTTATGTTTTACTGTAGTAACAGTGGAGGGAGTATGTTTTACTGTAGTAACAGTGAAGGGACTATGTTTTACTGTAGTAACAGTTGAGGGAGTATGTTTTATTGTAGTAACAGTGGAAGGAGTATGTTTTACTGTTGTAAAAGTGGAGGGTGTATGTTTTACTGTAGTAACAGTGGAGTGAGTATGTTTGTTTTACTGTAGTTACAGTGGAGGGTGTATGTTTTACTGTAGTAACAGTGGGGGGGATGTTTTACTGTAGCAAGAGGGGAAGTGTACCGTCATAACCTGCTGAACTTTGCATATCGAACAGAATACAGTTTGTATATATTATGACTGTTACAGGAGAGTACAGATCAAGTGTGAGCGTGGATGTCCCTGTGACGTGGACAATCGATGTGTATGTACCAAGGAGTATAACCCTGTTTGTGGGGTAGACGGCAATAACTACGACAACCCTTGTACAGCAAAATGCGCGTAAGTACATTAGGGCTCGAAAAACACAGCTGAACTCGCATTAACATGTTAGTCAGGTTACTCTCCTATTAATAGTATTGAAATAGTGACAAGTAAACTGATGATTAATCAGCCGGCGCATTGCCTAATCTTTACCCCTTCTTACATGATTACATTTTTACTACGACAGACAGTGTGATAGTGTATTATCTACCCACCCTATATGTAAGACCGATGCTAAGATTTAAGAGGGCATTTTCGTTTGTTTTTTTAGACACCCTAACCCGCTGTCTGCATGTTTTGTTCAAGTTTAGCTGCCTTCGATTAAATGCACACATTCAGTCACTAATCGTTGTAGGTATAGTAGGTTTCATCATTTTTTTAATTTACAAAAACGTTAATCAAATAAATGCACAATTCGCCAATCTAACTACTACAATAAACCATGAACTGCTGTATAATCAGGCGGACCACTATCGGCTGTCAGGGAAGATGTCCTTGTAGGTCTCGATGTGCATGTACCCGGGAATTGAACCCTGTATGTGGCACGGACGGCAAGACATACAACAATCCTTGTGGGGCAAAATGCGCGTGAGTATTAATGTAAATTACGAACCAAACAACAATCATTAGTATTTACCAGCAATTAAAAACATCAGTTCAAACAAACACATCAATACAAGCAATCAACAGTAACAAAAAATACCAAATCATGACAACACCAATTTAAAATTGACCATACCGATACAAACCAAACCAATGCAATCTATAAAACCTCCCAAAAAACCCACACTATACCATTAACAGTAGGTACTATAACATTGCACGCTCTAACAATACAATTAAAAGTAATTGACGATCCAATAAAGGCACGGTTTAAAATGACAATATAGTAATTAGTAATACCAAAACAGGACGTATGCCTACCATCATTAAGAAAACCCTATCGGTGAAATTGTAAACGTAAAATAGTGAAACACGTTTTGAATACTAAGGCTCGTAAGCCAAATGACGTAGAAAATAAAAGAATACCAAAATGTCAATACAACAGCTATTCGAACGTTATATGTAACAGCCAACCTTGTGCATGACAAAATGAATGCTGATAAGCCTTTATTGATCATACACTATTTTATTTGTTAAAAGTTCGTTTAGTTTTTGTGCCCTACTTATCGCTCCTCTATACTCTATCTGTAGGGGTGTGTCAGAGGCCTGTAGAGGGCAGTGCCCCTGTAATAGAGCCGCGCCCTGCATCTGTACCAAGGAATATAATCCAATATGTGGAGTAGATGGGAAAACTTACGGAAACAAATGTGTCTTAAAGTGCGCGTGAGTAGCTTCCATCAATATGTATGTAGACTTTACCCTTGATGACGTTTAATACAAGTAAGTGTTGGAGAGGAATTAGTCGATTGAAATAATGTTTATCAAGTGTACATACAAAACGACACAGCTGTATGGATTATTGATAGTATTGTACATTGTGTTCTGTTTTATAATTAGATATGATAAATTGCTTTATATTAAAAAGCCATACCCACCAATATATATTATAAACGACTATGTTAGATATACCAGTTCTTCAAACTGTTTTCACTATATTTCTTTATATAAAATGAGCATGTTATAAAAAGCATGTGAAGAGAGATTAAAATACAATATGTACAGCTTTCATAATCCTATTCCAGAAACGCTGCAGTAGGGTGTCTTGGTGAGTGTCCATGCACTCCACCAAAACCATGTTTATGCCCTTTGAACTTTGACCCCGTCTGTGGAATTGATGGGAAAACCTACGGAAACACGTGTGGGGCGAATTGCGCGTGAGTACCATATTCAGAGAATCTCAAACAGGGATACAATCTATACTATAGCAGGATATATACCATGCAAGATAACACAACCTGGTGGCATCCCTTAAGTTTATTATCAAATATGTATTCTAGTTGTCCTTTATCTGTATTTTATTTACAGCTAATTAATGAATTTTAACAGTATTTTTTTATTATGATTAAATGTATGGTACAGAATTTAATCCGGACCATATTGGGTCCCTATTAGGCGAATTTGTTATCACAAAACTAGTTTTAGTTTCGAACTGGTTTTGTAAACTTTCTATTTTTTAATGAAAACCAGTTTAAAACTAGTTTTAAACTGAAACTGGTTTTTCATTTGTTAACGGTAAACCAAAACCGGTTCGAAAAAATGATCAAACCGCACCCGGGTGTGGTTTTATAATTGGTTTCCTAATCAAAGATGGCGTCGATTACAAGAAACGTGATGGTAGAAGTGAATGCAGAGGAAATTTTCAAAATATCAAACGTCCATCTCTGCTGTGCAGACATTTCTATCATATCTAAAGGAATACATCTGTTAAATTATATGAATTTGTTGAAGTTGAAATATTGAAAAATCAGTAAAAATAAATATGCAATTTTGAAAAATTTGTTTTGATAATTAATTTTACAATTAAAGATCATACTTGAAATACCCATCAAAGCATACTGAAACAAAATACATGCACGGAAACATATGATGGCTACTTTCGGCAGGTTAGATTTGTTGAAAAATGTTTGTTTTTATCTTTTTAAAATACCTTTATTTTGCTAGATTTTGTGTCTATTAGTAGATTGTATACGTTTTCTTGACAGTCATATCAACAGTTTTCTACCGATACAGTATGTAATCGCGGCTGCTTCAAACCGATATTAAACACGAGGATGCAATCCGTGTCATCGGTCACCATTGAGAAACACTTGAAGTATTAGTACTGAACACATTTGTTTTGAAGCCATTTTTTGTGTTAAACAAGACATTTTTTTGAACAGTACTAAACCAAAACCAGCTTTGAAACCAAAGCCGAACCAGTTCTAAACCGAAATTATAAACCAAAACTGGTTTTGTGATAACAAATTCACCTGATGTGTGACACTCCCAACAACGGTACATTGATATCTGCGTTCCTCTACAAATGTACAAATAATTGTATATGTCTAATTGAGAGCCAGTCTCCATGTTCCTGACAACGCCTAATCTAGTTGGATTTTTTTTAGGGGTGTGGCAGAGGCCTGTAAAGGGGAGTGTCCGTGTAACAAAACCAAGCCCTGTATATGTACCGCAGATTACCAGCCTGTGTGTGGTGTAAATGGACAAACATACGGAAACGTATGCGGAGCTAACTGTGCGTAAGTACTTGACTGTTGTTATGATAACGTGTATTTCCATGTACCTAAATCTTTGGTAACCTGGCGATGATGGCTGTCTTTACTTATAACTATTTGTTGAAACAACTTTATATCTCATTGCTGATGTGCGTTGTTCTAAACAGTCTCACTGTATCATTCGAAAACAAAATTTAGTACTCAATATTTGTCAGGTTCACTGGTATGCTTCTGTTTGCATTTCGTGATTCTATCAGGAAATTCGTCTGTTTTTTATATTATGACATATGTCAAATGTGGCTCTCCGAACGATAAATATTCTGGATCACATATCTTTACTTCCAGATGGTTGGGGGTTCGCGTTCGTTGAGCAAGTTTTAGTGCAATAAAACATGAAAGCCAATAAGATTTAGATTGCATCCGGTACAACAATGACGTTAATAATCGGAAGGTTACGTTTAGCAGTTGAAAACATTTCAGAATAGTTCTCAAGCAATTTTACCTACTTCATAATTTACATCTTGGTGATTTTAGTCGACCGATACAGCTACAACCTATACCATATATCTTTGTTTCTATTATAACAGTGGTTTGGACGTTGAGTGTAAAGGTGAATGTCCATGTAAGAGTCAAAAGCCCTGTATGTGTACGCGGGAATTCAGACCTGTGTGTGGACTAAATGGGAAAACTTACAGTAACACGTGCGAGGCGAAGTGCGCGTACGTATCTCGTTCTTTATGTCTCAACAAAGACACATATGATATCAACACGTTATGGGGCGTCACAAGTTACACAACTCAAAAATAAATACATGTACATGTGGTCACATTGATCGTTTGTGTACAAGCGTTTAAAAATCACATATTCAATGTTTTATCCTTTTCGGTCTGCACCACTTAAATCACATATGTAATTAGAATTATCTCCCCTGAAGTGTATGTTAATCACTTGTATTCACTGCTGTAGGGGTGTGTCGGAGGCCTGTAGAGGGGAGTGTCCCTGTAATAGAACCACGCCCTGTATCTGTACCAAGGAATACAACCCAGTATGTGGCCTCGACGGAAAAACTTATGGAAACGCATGCGGAGCTAATTGCGCGTTAGTACTATTTATATGTTTACTGTTAATTTCTAGCTTCATGTATGATATCATGTTCATTGTATATTTTACTGTATCAATATAACAAGGTAGTTCCGAAATAGGTCGTTGAGCTAGGCAGACAACTGTGTCTTTGAGACTAAAACACGATATTTCATAGATGTTGGTATTTATTGTTTCTATCCGAGAAACATGCAATATCTGATAGTCCTATTTGGACGAGTAACTGTTTCTAATGTTTACAATTCTCGTCATGGTTAGTAATTGATGAAAATGACAAAGTCAACAATTCAGATCGTTGAAAAATAAAATATTGACACAAATATTTAGTATAACAGCCCACCATACAATTGACACATGAAACACCGATCGTAATGACAATAAATATGTTTAAAACCTATCAGTGGATTAGATACAATGAACAGTTTATGCAGGCTTACGATGTGTTAGTTTAGCAAAGGTGTCACAAATTATTTATTTTTCATTCAGTTCGACGTTCAATTAATAAAAAATCGATTAACAATTCATTTAATATCTTATTAGCGTTTCTGAATGTTTCATTGTAATAACGATGTACTGTCATCTCTACGAAGGAATGTTAAAGAGGCTTGTAAAGGCGAGTGTCCATGCAATCAACCAGTGAAGTGTGCTTGTCCAAAGATTTTGAGACCCGTATGTGGCAAGGACGGACGAACCTATTCTAACGGGTGTGAAGCATCATGCCGGTAAGTACAGGGTACGCTAGAGGTAAACGTGACGTTAAAGGTGATTTAAAGATAAACTCGTGATAAAGATATGAAAAGGCTGCTACAGTGTATCTCCCTACTTTATATAAGGCATTGTCCTGGTGGTCGTGACACGGAACTTACCAAGGACCCATCGTACGACTTCTTAATATAAACTTTATTTCATTCCACATTAAGTTGCATGACACCACGTAACATACAAAGTACAGAGAAATGGGATCCGGAAACAAGTTGAAATAACTTATATAAATCCGAGAAATGATCTCATTAAATTAAGCCATGATGGCATAGTTACTGAATTCAATGGAAAGAAATACAAAAGACTTCTTGGCCCGTATTCATGAAACCGTTCTCATGCTCAAGCATGGATTGTGTGCTCAAGACTAATTTCTTTTCCGATTATAAATCAATAACAAAATCTTATTTTGTCAATTATTCGGCGGAAAAAAATGAAGAGAATTAAAGCCGAATGCTGTTTTCAATGTTTACATTTAACTTTTTGATCGTTTGACATGATTTAAGAGAATTACAACAAAGTTTGTTTGAGCACATAATCCATGCTTGAGCATGAGAACAGTTTCATAACTAAGGGCCCTGATGTTACCCTCTCGTGCCCAAGGTCAGATATCGCACCATACAACTTAAGTGGAACCCCAACTAAGATGACCTAACTATAGAAACACGATCATACTTGCTATTATTTTGGTACATCTTCTGATACCTGTTTCAGTTGTGGATACTGATAAATCTAGTAGTCACTTTTCAAAAATATATAAAAATAAAAAAACAGGATTTTTAAAATGCAATGTAAAAACAAAATAACTAGTTGAGATTTAATTTTTCAATTTACTATTTTAGTTTCATCAATTGATATAGAGTTTATTGAAAAGATATTATAAACACCGTCATGTAGGTTATGTAAATCATTTCTTTAAGGACAATGTTGTATTTAGATAAATAGGAAACGTACATTATATCACAATATCATCAAACTATTATCAAATTGTTTCAGAAACGTTAGCGTTGAATGCAAAGCAACATGCCCGTGTGATGCCAGCAAAATGCCTTTACGTGTTTGCGCATGTCCTCGAAACTTTCGTCCGGTGTGTGGAAAGGATGGCAAGATGTATAATAACGCATGCTTAGCAAAATGCAGGTACTCTCATTGTGTAAAAGCAATTTATATACAAAAGACATTTTCTAAGAATATGTGTATTATTTCAAAACAAAAGCAGTTTGTTAAACTAGTCATTAAATAATAAACGTTGAGTTAAAACAAATAATGCCCAAAACTATAAGGAATCTATGTGATGTGTAGGATTCCTATATATGAAAGTCTTTAAAAAAGACTTGAAATGAAATAACGTTTTAGTCCGGAATCATACACAACGAACTTATGGGGTAAAGATTTTCTGACGCTTAAGTACATAGCCTGCCTTAATGTTTGTGTTTCATGATAGCCGGACGGAGATAGCATGTAAAGGGGCGTGTCCGTGCAAACCCAAACCAAGGAAATCGAGGTGTGCCTGCCCTAGAATGCACCGCCCTGTTTGTGGCATCAACGGAAGGACCTATTCAAACTCGTGTATTGCAACATGCAGGTGAGTGAATTAATAAGCAGGCCTTAACTGACATTAACGTCTTGTGTTTCAACATCTGTTCAACGGAACATTAAATAGTATGAACTGGTGAACTCGCCTCACGTTTATTTCATTCCTGTATGTTTTAGCTGTTTACAGGAATGTCTGGTACAACCGGCTTGTGTTTAGGCTAATGAAGTCTCCCGTTGGTATGCTGTCTCTTCGGTGTCTGTTGTTGCTTACACATACATGTATCAGCATTGACATTTTAATCACGCTTATTTTACTTAAAGAACGGGTTTATATCGTAAGCACTTAATTAAAAATCACAAAAAGTAGATGGGTATAGTGTGTGATGACATTTCTTTGATCGTACTGTTAGTTTGATGGCGTATTCATTACTGGCTGAGACATACTAAAGTCTGTAAAAATGGTAGTTTCTTCTTCTGCTTATCGCTAAGCAATTTAGGAGTGGGACGACTGGTTCGCCCGTTGTCAGTATAATGTGACAAGGTGGGGTGTCCTGCTGAGTGTCTTCGTCAGTAGTAGCACTTNTAAATTACCATAGCTGTTGATAGGGAGTTAAACAATACTAAACCAAACAAAACCTTATCAGAGAACCGTCATATATTATGTGAGAGTAAATATACCTGGTGTTGTATTAATGTGAGGTTCGATAAGACGTTCATAGTTACCATGATCTTTCAGGTATACGCATGGCTTCGTCAGGCTATGTTTATATGGCAAAGATTTGGTTATCTTATTAAAACCAATACGACTGGATATTTCATGTGTATTATTTATGTGTTCGTTGCTATTTCAGAAACACGGACGTTGAGTGTCACGGTAGATGTCCATGTAAAAAACAATGTGCATGTCCTTTCATCTTGAAGCCTGTGTGTGGTGTCAATGGACAGACGTTCCCAAACTCGTGCAGCGCCCAATGCAAGTAAGGCTCAAAAGGGATATGCCATAGCTTCATACCTGCCCCCAGTTATACAACATATCGTCACTAATGGCGATTTCTTCACATAACTCCCAATGGGACAATCAGTGCTTTGAAAGACTATTTTGAGGTTTGTTTTTTAATCCAAGCATTGCTTTCGTGTAGAAATCAATTAAAGAAATTCTGTAATTTAAATTACAGCTTACCTACACTCTACATCTTGTCAATAAACATATCATCTTTTGATAAACTTAGCTAGATCATGAACATTCCCCAATACCCTTGTATACAGTGTAACACTTAAGCAATCGATTTCAATATCAAATCATACATAGGAAATGTATGACACATACCAATCTTGTTTATAATATTTTGATGAATACATTTTATCTGCAATGTTCTGTTTTCAGTTCGGCTTATTCTACACGTTTTAAACCAGTCAGAATCCTTACCTTTGTCTACTTGTATTTAGCAATGTAATATAAAGAAAAATAACTAAAATACATGAGATAAAGATGAAATATTCGTATTGCGTTGCGTAAAAATTTCTAAAGGTAAAACTTAACATTATCAACAAGACGGTAGTGACCTAGTTTTGCAATCGAAGCTTCATTCAACATCATTTATAAGACTACATAGAGTCTTATAAATAACTTAGAATCTAATGAATAAGACTCTAAATAACATAGAGTCTAATAAATACCTTAGAGTCTAATAAATAACATAGAGTCTAATAAATACCTTCGAGTCTAATAAATAACTTAGAGTCTAATAAATAACATAGAGTCTAATAAATAAGACTCTAAATAACATAGAGTCTAATAAATACCTTAGAGTCTAATAAATACCTTAGAGTAATAAATAACATAGAGTCTAATAAATAACATAGAGTCTAATAAGTAAGACTCTAAATAACATAGAGTCTAATAAATAACATGGAGTCTAATAAATAACATGGAGTTTAATAAATAACATAGAGTCTAATAAATAACATAGAGTCTAATAAATAACAGAGTCTAATAAATAACATAGAGTCTAATAAATAACTTAGAGTCTAATAAATAACTTAGAGTCTAATAAATAACATAGAGTCAAATAAGTAAGACTCTAAATAACATAGAGTCTAATAAATAAGACTAAAAAACATAGGGTCTAATAAATAATAAGAGTCGAATGAATAACAAAGTCTAATGAATAAGACTCTAAATAACATAGAGTCTAATAAATAACTTAGAGTCTAATAAATAACATAGCNGGATATTTCATGTGTATTATTTATGTGTTCGTGCTATTTCAGAAACACGGACGTTGAGTGTCACGGTAGATGTCCATGTAAAAAACAATGTGCATGTCCTTTCATCTTGAAGCCTGTGTGTGGTGTCAATGGACAGACGTTCCCAAACTCGTGCAGCGCCCAATGCAAGTAAGTTTCACAAGGGATATGCCATAGCTTCATAAGGTTATAACACCTGCCCCCAGTTATACAAACATATCGTCACTAGTAAATAACATAGAGTCTAATAAGTCACTAGTAAATAACATAGAGTCTAATAAATAACATAGAGTCTAATAAATAACAGCTTTTTCAAAATTCACTCTTTTCTTTATTACTCCAGACTGATTGATCCCACAAAATTCACATTATTTTATGAATACCTATACTTTTTTTCTGCAAAATTCCAAAGTTATATATTTTGACCGATTAAAGCATTAACTCGGGCATTCCTGCTTTCTAATATGTTTTATATTCAATATTTGTTTTATTCGTGTTCTTACGTGTATTTCTAATACTATTTCAGGGGTGTCCGCGTTGATTGTGACGGGCGCTGTCCATGTGATAAAGTAAAGAGATGAAGAAGACTAACCAGTAAACGAAAGAGTTGTACCTGATCAGAACTGATATCAAAATATGAGGAAGGGTCCATTTAATGTTTGTTTAAGCAGTATCCAAATCATATTAAGTTTAATCCCCTACCCGTCCAAACCTAAGTTTTTCAGATTTTAAAATCAGTTTTGATCCAGTACGTTATGTATTCTAATGCATATGTGAGTATATCAAATTTGTTGTAATCCATATCAATAGAACAACAACACAATATCACTGATTTTCCGAAAAAAATCTTTTATTGAAAAAAAATAAAAACAGGTTGTCTGTGTTACATTTATATTATCAATTACAAAAATATACTGGAAATCAAAGGAGAACATGCATGAATATACAAAAATTGTGAAACCATGTGTCAGTTTGAAGCGAATGTATTGACTTCGTTAACTGTCAAGACAAATATGTAATTGTATCGAAATTTATCAAGTTTTTTTGTTTTGTAGGAGTTTGTTTGCTATTTCAGTTTCTCGTTTAATATGGAACTAGCTACAGTACATTTGTTGATTGATATACTCGCGTATTGATAAAATTGCATATATATGTACTAGTGTGTGCAGATATTTGTTTGTTGACTAACTTGTGTGGTAAAGGTAGGAAAATGTGGATACTGTCTCTTGTTGATACATGTATACTTGATTTGATTAATTTGTAAATGGAATGTACATCTTTACTTTGAATTGATGTGAATAGTATTTATAAAACCATAGTTTGACCTTAGTTTCTGTCTGTACTAAAGATTTATATTTTTTTTTATATTTTTTACGACAAACCTGTTGTATCTCATTTCGATATTTATTTAGTTCATTATTTAGATATTTACTATGTGTGTGGGTCGTCAACTATGTAAATCAGCGTTTTATCAGTTAAGCTGTCTTTATGTAATACAAGTTCACTTTGTAATATATTTTGGTAATTGTTTTAATTGCCACTAAGATGTAAAGCACACATTTATTTAAAACACTAATCTGTGATTACTTAACTTATTCCCTGTATTAGTAAAACAAATTTGAGAAAATTTAGATACACCACCCCAAACAAACTCTCGAAGCAAATAATAGAACGAGACTTTTTGTGGATTGTTTTGTAGTTAAAGGTTCCGACAGGCATCAAACGCCAAAAAAACACTTGAATTTCAGTTATACTTTGAATCTAACGTCACGTCAGGATTGATCTGCGATGACACTCAAAGTATGAAAGTCCTGAAGAGTTTCCAAATAGAAAACACTACCATGTAATAGTCAGTCATGTTTCTTGTGTATATAACACATTTTTTGCTTGATATATTTATCTTAGAAATATATATATGTAATGTGATACATGTCAATTGGCTTTGTAATAAATCGATCTGTGAATGTGTAATTTGAGAGTTTGTTGTGTCTATAACTTATTAAAACTACTAGAACATGGACATTATCAGTTAATGAAATATTTTATCGACATCATGTAGACAAATCTGATATATGTACATACTAAATAAAGATGCTTGATTTTATTTATATCGTATGATGTCATTTACCGACATCCTCATTGATCAATTCATAATCACGTGGAGATCGCTGTCTCGTGATATTGACACGGTGTTACCATTGTTAAGCAACCTCTTGTTATAATGACAAAAGCATAAAAATCATATCTATTAATACAATTCAGGATTTTTATTTATGAGAATATGTGTTAAACAGACCTTAGAAAACGACATTAAGCGAGACAAAAGTCCATAATTTATAAATATATAAAACCCACTATATCTATAAAATAAACGAAAAAAGAGCCTCCGGTACATTTTAAAGGGTAGTCACTCAAGATCTTTAAATGTTTTTCGACATGGTTAAAGTAGTGCAGTACATGTATGCGGTAGTAGCTGTAACGGTTACATACGCATTAATGATTTAGTGCCTATTGCCGATTTCGATGGCATCTAAATTGTATTGGCAAGCACAACATAGTTGAGTCAACTGTAATGAAAATGTATGCATAAACTTTCATTTCTACACTTACTTTGTTTTGGAAAGGACACATCATTTTACAGTCTCTTCGACGAGAAAACAATATAAATCATTAAAGGCTAGGCATTTGTAGTACGTTGGGCATACACTACAATTTGACGTAAAAATGAAATGAACTGCAGCAAAATGGCCAAATATTATCAACATTTTGATTTCTCAAGTTAATATCGCTCCGTATCATCTGTAAAATTTATTATTTGACATGGTAGGGTAAATGAATAAAAAAAAGGTAAAACATATAGGTATGGACGCTACAATTGACAGATTTACTTATTAGCATTTAAGTCTCTAGAAAACAGTTCGCCATGTCTAACTTATATGCAGAAGATGTCACTGCAGTGTGTCTGCATAATGTCAGTTCATATAAAGTAGTCCCCCATTGTCAAATTTCATGCAAATAGAAATATATATAAAACATGAATAAATATGACCAATGATTAGTATATAGTTTCCTGAAGAGACATTATATAGCAATATGATTGCCATTTCAGATAAGCAAACAACCTTTGCCTGAGGGTAGCGTTCCACGGATACAGTAAGACATACCTATATCTTAGCTGTAATCAATACATGACTATAAATATGATAATATAATACATACATTCATCCTCAACGAGAATCACTAATATCCCGACGACGTCTTATCAAAATCAAAATAGTCACATTTTAGAATCAATAGACAATAGTCCAGCTTCAGGATACATTTGAAAAACATTACATTAAAAACTATTGTCGGCATATCGCTAACAACAGTTTGCTGATATAAAGGGATAGGTTAAATATATGGAAGCAAACAGCAAATGAACATTGTGCCTAATCTAAATGTAGCTTCAAAAAGTAGTCCGGTTCTAGCAGAACATAGGCTTACAATGTAAGTAACATTAGCATAAGGACATTAAATATGGACTATGATCTGAATATAGAGGCAGATATATACCTGCGTTCAGAATGAACTAAGTTAAACTAAGTTAAACTAGATTACTGACAGGTCAGCAAGGGCCCCGTCTTGTGGCAATATATCCCCCATAATCATCAAGAAGCAATCTACCCATATAGCTAAGCTTGACGTTTGACATTTGGACTTCAAAAAGAATCGCAAGGAAGCAAAATATACATTTTTCATTTACTATAATGTGAGTCTTGTTTCCTTCCATCTCCATATTTGCTTGGCTAACAGAAATGTAAATACCGGTGCAATACTCATTTGTTAGCTCTGACTTGTTTTATTTCACCTTAAATCCCTCCCCCATCAAGAGCCAATGTCAAAGTCAGAGATCCAGTTTGTTTTTGACCTTTGGACACAAATGACCTTGACGTTTAACCCAATGACCCTGATCTTTAGTCAGTTGACTTATTCTTTAATTCCGACCAACTTTGCTTCATAATATCATAACAAAATGTTCAACATTGAAAAATACGAAACTTGACCTGGACCTCGAACCTTTCGACCCCGTAACCTGGACCTTTGATCAGTTGACTTCGTGTTAAGTTCTGAACAATTTTGCTTCATATTAACATAAAAAATGTTCATCAGTAAAAAGATACAATATTTGACCTTGACATAGACCCAGTGACCTTGACCTTAAGTCAGTTGCCTCCTTGTTAAATTCCTATCAACTTTGCCTCATAATGTCATGACAAAATGTGATTACTATAGGGCACCCGTATCTCCGATACGGGCCCTAATAAGTCATGCAGTGCCTTGGACAAATGCGTTTGCGATACAAAATGCTGTAAAACATAGCTAAAACCAAATCTATATTTCTTACCAAATCCACAAATGAAAGCATTAATTAATATCAAGTTCTTAAACGTGATTCATCGCCATGTTGACGACACATTTTCATTCTGTCTCATTATCCACCGTTTCTTTTTTCGGATTGAGACTCGAGGAACAGGTTGAACGGTTTTAATTTGGGACAATTTGGAGTAATATTTTCCAGAAAAAACTCCAACTGCTATTAAGATCCTCTTGTAGGTCACCACCTGACAATTTTCTCACTTTATATCATTCGTTGATTGCTGAGACAAATTCATTCATTCGCATACTGGTGAAAGTCTTCGTCTAACCAGGATCTTGGTCATATGACATTATATAGAGGTAACACAATTACTTGTATACTAAACTTGTAACAAAATAAGACGAGGAACTTCGGTATACGTACAGGTTTCACTATCCTGTGCTACATAACGGGCAGGCAATTTGTGTATAAATATCTGATTAAATTTGCTGCACTGATTTCCCAAAACATTTAACTCGTCTCTGAGCGTTTTGAAAAGATAAACAAGTATCAAATTATCAACATATATCTTTTTTTAAATTACATCATATCTGGGAATGAATAACAAAAACAATTTTTCAAAAAAATAAAAACATGCTATATAAAATGATGAAATACATTAGTTACAATTCAGACATATATATATATTAATATTATTATATAAATTATTATTTATTATCTTATATGTCTAAACATCATAGCAAGAACAATACAGTTTGGATATATTTCATTATAAAATGTGATATATAATAACATTTGAATAAAAAATATAACATTATAAGCTAGATATTATGCTTCTGTAGTTTGCGAAATGTCTATTGTTTGAGTTACCTTGAATTTGACTATATTACTATTAGAACTACTCGCGAGCAATCGATAAAGTTATTTATGTCTGAATTGCAAATATCAAGCCAGTGCGAACCATTACCGGCCTCGGTGTTCTTGTACTACTTACATTAAATAACCAATATATACAGAACTTTACTTCATGAGTAATGCTCTCTTAATATTGCACTATGTCATCCGATACAGGAAAACATGAATATAATTCACAAACATTTTGCAAAAAAAAAGAGATTCGTAAGCCATAGACTGTTTCTAATTGCATGAAAGGTTCCTCAAAATGCAATTACAGTTCTGTTGTCATGCTAGGGTTTTCGTGTCCCACGGCGTGGCAGTTGTCGGAATCATTGTCTTCTTCTATCATCAGCTTGTCCTCTGGGTCTACAAGAATCGTAAACATATTACAATGAATATTCCAAATACATCTCTTCAAATGCTTTGAACATCTGATTTTCATCTATTCATTTATTCTATTTTTGTATGTTTATAATGTTGCAATGCCTTGTATAATGGGTGTCACGGTTGATGAAGATGAATACGATTCACATACACAAAAATGAATGAACACAAGATAGATCAAAACGAGTCCAACTGGTTTAATAAATAGATTGTTGTCATCCCAGAACTATAGAAGTTATCTCCCATTTCGCGTACCTCTCAAGATATGTACAGTGACTGAGTTTTATCTAATACAGCATTTAAAACAAACGAGTCTAAATGTATTTGGGGACCTTAGTTTGCATTGCCGGTTAAGGGACTTACTACACATCTCAATCGACCCGTTAGACGCACCAAACAGTTGTTCACTATATTCCTCTTCGCTCGGCATCTGGAGTCCGTCATTGCTAAGGTTTTCTACCGTCGTTTGGCGATTCACCAACTCACGAAGACACTCGTGGATGAAGAGATATTGTTCCTTAATAAACAAAAAACATATCGTTATGTAGTAATGATATGACCTCATGTACGTATGTAATGTGGATATGCAAATGTTTTCAATTACATGCTCATATTTATGTATTATTTCTATATTTCTGTCTTTCATATTTTTTCTAATAGCCAATAAAACAACTTTATCATTAAAGCATCTAAAGTTTCTCATACCTTCGCTTGCACCATGCAATTTCGATGCTGTCTAAGTTTCAGCACATATTGAAATATATCGAACTCGTTTGAAAGGTTGTGGGTCCTGACGAATTCTGTGAGATACTCAATGGCAAGGTAGGTACCTGTCCTACCAACTCCAGCACTGCAAAAGAAATGTTTTCACATAGCAGGTACTGGTGTATTGATTGATGGGTAAATTTTAGAGCGTAATGTGTATGTCTTCAACTCCCTATTAACACAACCATAACTATTCCCATACATGTACATACACATATATATCATGATAAAAACTTTAATCTATAGTAGTTGTTTAACAAAATGCATAACATTGACAATAATAGTAAACTTGATCCATACAGCGAAATTAAGAAAACATATAAAGAAGAATCTTATTTATCGTTACTAAATTTTTAGTAAAGGCAATTACTAACGAAATTGAGAATAAGAAAAAATATTCTTAAGATTGAAAAAGGCAGAGCTAAACATTTCCTTGGCCGCTTCGTCTTTGTAAGAACTGTAAAACACTAGAAGACGAGGTACGTATCTTTTTTATTGTACGAACAACTCTGACAAAAGAAAATCTGTTTTCGAAGAAATAAATCAATTACACCACTAAGTGATATGCAAACCTTATAGAGGATACAATCATTCAATGAATCAAACCTTATAGAGGATACAGTCATCCAATGAATGAAAACTTATAGAGGATACAGTCATCCAATGAATGAAAACTTATAGAGGATACAGTCATCCAATGAATCAAACCTTATAGAGGATACAGTCATCTAATGAATCAAACCGTATAGAGGATACAGCGATCTAATGAATCAAACCTTATAGAGGATACAGTCATCCAATGAAGCAAAACTTATAGAGGATACAGTCATCCAATGAATGAAAACTTATAGATGATACAGTCATCCAATGAATCAAACCTTATAGAGGATACAGTCACCCAATGACTCAAACCTTATAGAGGATAGGGTCATCTAATGAATCAAACCTTATAGAGGATACAGTCATCTAATGAATCAAAACTTATAGAGGATACAGTAATCAAATGAATCAAACCTTATAGAGGATACAGTCATCTAATGAATCAAAACTTATAGAGGATAAGTCATTCATTGAATCAAACCTTATAGAGGATACAGTCATCCAATGAAGCAAAACTTATAGAGGATAAGTCATTCATTGAATCAAACCTTACAGAGGATACAGTCATCCAATGAATCAAAACTTATAGAGGATACAGTTATCCAATAAATCAAACCTTATAGAGGATTCAGTCATCCAATGAAGCAAACCTTATAGAGGATAAGTCATTCATTGAATCAAACCTTAAAGAGGATACAGTCATCCAATGAATCAAAACTTATAGAGGATACAGTCATCCAATAAATCAAACCTTATAGAGGATTCAGTCATCCAATGAATCAAACCTTATAGAGGATACAGTCATCCAATGAATCAAACCTTATAGAGGATACAGTCATTCAATGAATCAAACCTTATAGAGGATACAGTCAGTCATCTAATGAATCAAAACTTATAGAGGATACAGTCATCCAATAAATAAAACCTTATAGAGGATACAGTCATCCAATTAATCAAGATTTATAGAGGATATGGGTCTCTTCATTAAAAATCCTCACAAAGTGCTTAAGATATATATCATGCCTACATTCTGAGTATTGTTCTTATATGTTTGCTAATGTTGTGTTAATTTGCTGTCCGGTCCATATGCAATAAAGTTGAATTGAATTGAATGTAAACACATATTGCAATATTACAGTCAGTAATACAATCAAAACGTGTACTAAAGCAATATCATAAATGTATTTTATATGTATATTACCTGCAGTGAACCACAATGGGCCCTATCAAATCATCGTGAATTTCACCTTTAACCTTAAACAAAAAATCAAGGAATACGTTGCAATCCACTTCCGCACCAAAATCAGGCCATTCAAGAAAGTGGAAATGTTTGATAGTTTTCTCATGGTCAGCCTGGAAGATAAGATTGATTAAAACATGTTAGTATCTGTGTCTTTGTAAACAAAATTCAAAATCGACCATATCTTCGATAATCTGCGGATGACTGGACAAGAGATATAACGAGTAAACTTACCGACGCGATTGTGAACTCAGAGTAGACATACTCGTCATTCGGCTCTACGGCTGTTCGTGTTACCTCTACTGCTCCATAGGTCTCAGACTCGTGTAGATTCTCTGGCCAGTACTGTTCACATTTCTAATGGAGTAAAATAGTGAATGTATCAGCTTCTGGTCTAGTATACTGATATGTCATACGTTGACTGTTTACATAACTGATAATCTCATTTGAAATTCTAATAAATAATTGTAATTATTCATAATAGATAGTACAAAAAGATCCATTATTGTATTTTTCAAATTCTGGCACAATATGATGTGTTTTTGCTTGACTTTTTACATTAAGAAAATAATGTTCAAATAGGTATTTATTTAATTAAGTAGTATTGAGATAAACAACGGTCTAGAACATTCTGCTAGTATTTATGCCCGGATCACGCGGTGAATTATCAAAGTAATCAACTAACCGTTCCTTACTGAAACACATACTCAACGCTTCTGAAAAATATATGACTCAAACTTTGTGTATGACTGTCCAAGGCAGAAATACTACAATTGAGTGTGTTAAGGATTGTAGAACACGATGCCTGGTATATGGGATAGATGTCCATTTACAGATATCATATGTCAAAATCTATATCAAAATCCTGATTAGGATCATCCATCTTGAAGTGTCGTATGTAACAATTCGGTCTATTAGCTAATCGAAATGTGTTTCTTTGCTAACAGATCTTGAAATAACAGAAATATGAATACGCACAACAGTATTGCCTTCCTTGCATCTGGTTAGCATCACGATTAAAGGGACATCTTGTTCCCAGACCATTTGCCAAAAGTCTTCGATGGTGCCTGGAAGGGGACCCTGGCAAGCTATATACTCTCTTTCAAACTTGAATCCCTGAAGATAATAAATACACATGTTTATCTAGTTATTTACAAATAGGCACAATGCGTCACAGTAACGCTATACAATGTCAGTGCAATGATCCTGCACCAGTTGATCTGGGACAGTATATTTTAGCACTTCGAACTGCAATTGAATTTTAAAATAGAAAACACTGACTGCAGCATAATATGCCATCCTCAGACAGGGCTCGTGGTGATATCAAACAGTTCTGGTATGTGGTATGCTGTTTCGCCAGTTGAACCATGGGAACAATGGGGAAATAGCAATGATCACAACATTAAAAATCAACTATTTTACAACAACATAATAATTAATAAATGACATTAACAACACAATAAAGACTCCATTATTATTTAAAATCCTTTATATGGTTTAACAGCTAACTAGCTGTGGTATCTTTGCTTGGTTCAGAGATGACATAAACTATTTTACAACAAAAAAGCACTTTGAAACAAAAGACTATCGCGATCACTTTACGTTCAGTGATTTTTAGCGCAAAGTTACGTTTTATCTAAAGTAAGATTAATATTCTTCGTAATATTAAATCATCTCCATTTCATATCATTTCGACATCAGACAAACTATAGACTTGTTTTTGTGCACTAAAGTAGTATCGTAATATTGCAAATGAATACGTTAGCCCATTGAGGAATTCATGAACAAACAAAATGGAAATCTGTACATTGTGCACAATTTTGCCCAACACTTTGAATGCGAAGACCGCTTAAATAAAATAAATGCTAAAATGATACGTTAACAGCATGGAATTTGATCAAGTTCTATTCTTTAAACACATCTGCAGAAAACGATTTTCAGTTTTAGCAGCCGAGCTGAAAGTTTTGCAATAGGATTAGTAAAATTCATATTAAACATGTCAGATTTTATATACATGTTTCAATAATCTATGCATACTTACGGGAATGTAATTTGCATTGATATAATCATTTCCACCGCCGCATAATTTAACTCTAGACCGATCGTCTGAAAATAATTAAGCAACGTTTGATTAAACTGAAGGTGTTCGTATCGTTCATCGTTTGTCAATGACATATAACAAGAAACTGAAGTTCGAACAGGGTAACATTAGATATTGATATTTTATCAATATCAAAGTATTCTACACATACAAAAGTGAAAAGTCCAATCCTCATGTTTTCATATCAATCTTTTCAAGAAGTGAGCGCACCAAAACGATATGTGTTCGTTGTAACTAAAATTAATATTTGTGTAAGATAGAGGTTAAATATACACCTGACTTTATCCTATAATTCTCACACATGCAGGCATAAGACAATTTATGATATAGCCAGTCACTTATAGCCTCCGTTTCATATTATTATAATAAATAATACATACGTTTATATCATAATTAAAATGAACTATTATACAATTAGTATATTAGTATTAGTATATAATAATGTACATTCAGAGGAACAAACGTATACAGTGACTGGCACTCTTTGATCAGAAAGCATATTGAGAGAACTAAGTTATATGTACATGAAATAATTTTCTGCAATACATGTTTTATTCCATAGGCAGTGGTTACTCACATGGAAGTATGTTGTTGTAGCGATTTTTGGGGGTATTTATCGGAAGTGTGGCTATGTCAGTTGGATATCTCTCAGTCAGTAAGTTCAGGTCCTAGAATAGATGGAGGCGTTGGTGAAATATGTATAACTATGTATTTACAACACTTCAATAACAGCACACTAGTGTGATTTAATCCCTTTTCTGTTGTTTTATGTATAGATGCATACACATGTGCATGTTTAAGCAAATTATTCATACCTTTCGTCAATATTCCTGTAGAAAATTAAATTTGAATTTACTGAAACGTAGTAGATATTTAACATACTTTAGAACGAGACATTTGTACATGACGTTCACATGACGAATTCAGTAAAGAAAAAAACATGTCAAAAACTGAAAAGAAAAACGTACGCTCCATTCCAGCAGAAGCAATCGGCCACTGTCGTTCTTCATTCGGTCAACCAGCTGTTTAACGTTTCGCAAAATAAACGGTCTATCAAATAGAAAGACAAATGACAAATTTGATATATTCGTGATAAGCATATTTCTCGACTATATTTCCCCAATAATCCGATACGTATAGATTATTTGTTCATCCTAAGTTTCATCGAACTTACCTTTTTTTTCTAATGTGACGGCTGGCACCTGATGTTACTCTCCTAGGTGAAATAGTACGTGATTGACCTAGACAGGGACTGTATGGAACAATAATGATATAATAAACAGTCATAGGTATAATGCATTGGCTTTAGTTGAATCTAACACAATGCAATATCAACTTTATGGTGTAATGAAGTGGTTATTAACCTTTAAGGAAATAAAGAAAAACATTAATTAAAAAGCAATATGAAGAAACCCTTTTAATCTATCAAAATGAAGCTGATTATTAACATAATGGAAAGAGGCGTAACATTCATACATCTGGTGATTTTTTTTCTACTTAGAAATCAGTTCCTGTAGTAATGCCCGTGTTCCAATTACGAACCTCTTTTAAATCAACTTACTACATATTCCATTTGTACAGCAATCCAAGCAGGGTTGTAATAACTATGATACATGTCAGCACCAGTATAATTACACCAGCTGTCACAGCGCCAGACATTCCGGCTGCAATTAGTTTCCATTTACTGTATATCACATATGATATCGTGATACATAATAAGAAAAGAAATATTTATAAATTATTGTTTATTCTTGAGATTTAATTTTCCAATCAAGTCAGATATACTTCATCGTGAATGTTGGATCCATCATGATCACTATACATTCCATATAGTAAACATGTTATCGCCACGTATATGGAATGCACAGTTTCAATTGACTTGAAGTCAAAAGTTAATCAACTTTGTTAACACAATATTTGTAAAAAAAAAAAAAAAAAAAAAAAAAAAAAAAACAACATTTAAAGTAACCTCACGTGAACACATTGGTATTTGTATTGTGACAGTTCTTTTGTCTGACTTAAGTTTGTGGTCCGCTATGATGGACATCACCTATTAAAAATAAATGAATGACTTAAGTCAAATAAAGAAAAATACAATTTATTGATTGCTTTTGCTTGATTGGTTGCTATTGAAGACAAAGGTTTTTTTGTCACGTAATGTGTGGTATGCTTTAACAAACCTCCTATACAATGATATATTTTAACAGCACAGCAACCTGTCACCTTAATATATACAACGATATCATTTGTTAACGCTGCTTTAAGCATTGCAGGTTTTATGTTCTTAGTAATGACAGCTTCATTAGAACGTTGAGTGGTCAGTTTTGTGCCGAATGATTTTTACCCTACAAACACTGTATGGCTTCACTCGTAGGATCATTGACATCGTCAATGTTGGTGGTAATTCAGCATTAAAAGGGTAGAAATGAGTGGTCTGGAAAATATATTGTTTACAATAAAATGAAATATTGTAAAAGATAGACCCAATATTTATTAACAAACTTAACAGAATTTATAGTACATAGGCTTGTACTTACAGACACGGTGAAAATCTTCCTCGTGCTCCCTGCTTTGGCAAATAAGACAGTGTACTGTGTTTCCGTATCTTCGTATACATTCGAAATTGTCGTTGAAGTAGGCTTGCTCATCTGCAGTACAGTTATATATTTATATATATATATATATATAATATCGCAAACTCATGATAGGGAAAATAAGAGTAGTATTGCTCAATAAAAAAATAATGGTTCTGTGAACAAATAACACTTACCAAATTGAATGGGGTAAACGGAGGAGTATATGAAAACATCTTCATAAAAATCATATTCCTTTCGACCTAAATACCTTCAATCCATTTCGATTTGAAATAGCATCATATCATCATACATACCTAACGATAATTGTGTCATAATAAGCTAATTTAATATAACCATATCTAAATATTCCTAACAATTTTTGTTTTGTAATCTTCGTATTCAACACATTTATCTTAAGATGAATGTAATATCCGTATTTGAATATAATCATAAATAATTACATCATATTCCTTTCAACCTAAATACTTTCAAACCCTTTCAATTTGAAATAGCATCATATCATCATACATACCTAACGATAATTGTGTCATAATAAGCTAATTTAATATAACCATAGCTAAATGTTACTAACATTTTTTGTTTTGTTATCTTCTTATTCAACACATTTATCTTAAGATGAATGTAATATCCGTATTTGAATATAATCATAAGTACTTAACGATGTTAAGAAATAATCATATATACCTAACGATGATTATTTTGTAATCACCTTATTTAATATCAATGTACTAACCCTACCGTTGATTTGTATTCACCTTCTTTAATTTAAATATCACTATACATATCTTACTCTGATCGTGTTGTCGTCACCTCGTTAAAATCATTATATATGCTGAACAATGATTGTATAATGCTTAGTTGTTAGGGCATTCTTGCCATACATTTATTTAGATAATTGTGAAGTAATGTTCTGATCCGATGATATCACTAAACATACGTGATGATGATTGGGAAGTGATGATTTGATGATATCACTATACATACGTGATGATAATTGGAAAGTGATGATCCGATGATATCACTATACATACGTGATGATGATTGGGAAGTGATGATTTGATGATATCACTATACATACGTGATGATGATTGGGAAGTGATGATCCGATGATATCACTATACATACGTGATGATGATTGGAAATTGATGATCCGATGATATCACTATACATACGTGATGATGATTGGGAAGTGATGATCCGATGATATCACTATACATACGTGATGGTGATTGGGAAGTGATGATTTGATGACATATTTTGATATCAGTCCATGACGTTCTTTTCTCTGTGGTTCTGTCCATTTTACACCATACACATCCTCTGTACAGTCATCTCCACTCTGTTTCTCCACAGCAAGGTTTCGTACACTCCCAGGACCTTATCAAGGGTATGCAGTAAGTGCAATATGTAATCATTTTTGATGATATCAAATAAGAGTGTTTAACTGTTATTTGCATATGACACTAAATTGTGAATTCAAGCATATCACGTGTTAACGGATTTTTTACTCAGTACACTATTTTTTATTTCGGACCCCAAAACTTTAAAGTAGGCCATTTAATGTAACGTATACATTCTATGTTTACCACCACAACGTGAACACGTTCGACAACCCAGAACTGAAATTGTAACCATAACTATCTCAGCCACCTAGAATTTGTGTACTCAAAAAAACAGTAGTTGTACAATAACTGAGCATTCTGTGTATAAAACAATGTAAGAACAACATCAACCTGAAGAACTCGAGCTATGCACACTGTAATTGTTCCGACAACTCAGAGGCTATAAGAGACATTATGAGCCCATAAAACAAAGATTTATCTCTTGTCTGAAGAACAAACTGTTCCTTATGAATCATTCACAGAACAGCGACTAAAGTTGACTCAATAGAACTTGTGTAAACGCTGGGCAAATCAGAGGTGAAAGCAACTACATTTGTGTCTTAAATACAAAACCAAACAAATCATTGGTCGGACATGAAGTCTAATCCCTAATTTGCAATCCCATTAAGTAAATACATTTGTTCCCTCAGTATCCACCTGATGAATACAAAGTTGACTTAATATAACCCAACCTTCGACCGTAATCCTGAATCCGATTTGTTTCTGTTTTTATCCGAAGCTGAATTTATTGATGAGCATATTAGGACAAAAACTTCATCGACCGATACAATACCCTCCAGTGCTTAAAATCCAATACCTTCCAGAGCTTGAAATCAAGCTCGACAATTTTTCTCCAGCGCTCGACTTATTATTTCGGGCGCTTTACTTAGACTTTACGTATGAATCGCTTCATAATAGTATTTTATTGGAATCGTGATAGCAGAGGAGTTGTACGGAAACGTAAATGAACCTCTCATTCTTGTAATTAATGTCAATTAATGTCAATTAAACGAAACAACGTATGTCGACAATGTATGTTAGTTCTATCATTTGAAACCTGGTGGTTTGTGGAACTATATACTATTTCTTCTTTTTATTCCCAAATAAATATGATGTATTTACCATTTGTTCCCTCCTTTTTGCATCTCAGTCTTAAATGCTTTTTGTAGAATATTTGATTAATCTGTTTGTTTTCAAGGGAGGAAATTACTTATCTGTAATTTATTTCTAAATTCTTTTTATTCTGAAAAACAAATTGACATAATGCCCCCTTTTCGACTTTAGAACGGAGGGCATGTTAAGATAATAAAAAAGTATACAACGCCAAATATTCAAAAAAGAAAAAGGCCAGAAAGGATAAATACTAACCAACAGTAACTAGAAGGATCCAACAGTTCATAGTACGTACTAATATATACTGCATAGGTGGAAATTTGGATAGGATTTGATATAATGACCTCCCTGACTTTCAATAGTCTCAGTTATTTCAAACGGGTGGAAGACCTGTCCCTAACTGAAAGATTCTATTCAAGTTTACCAAAATTTTGTTTGTAATTTCCATAATTAATCCCCTTTAATAATACACCTTATCCGGTTGTATATTGTGGTATGTTTTTCAACAAAATAAAAAAAACAAAGTTTACATCTAATAAGATGTTGGTGGTCATTGGTGTTCAAGTCTCAAAGGTCAAAGATCACATTTAACAACCATTTCCTGATCGCGAAGTTGGGTATACATTTGTGAGCCGCTGCTTACGATAGTACTCTGTTTTCACTCGAACTGCAAGCAAACAATCGTACGATAACTTTAAAAAAATCAAAATGAGCCGTTTTTGATTTTGTTGGTCAATCTATGCAATGATGAAACGTTCGTCAATGTCTATGCATTGTAATGTCAATTCATGTCCTTCCGTTATAATGCAGCTTGGTTTGTATCTCTGAATTTGTGAAACGTTAACAAAATGTCTGTTACGTTTAGTCAAAAAAACATCAAGGTCCATACGCAACTTCTGAAGCCCGGATTATGATATCGAGGGAGCAAGAATACGACGTCAAGGGAGAGAGATTAGTGCTACTCGGTTGCCGTCGTATTTGCGCGTTATTGCTTTTACCAACCTTAGGTCAAGAAGGTCGAGAGAGGTCGAGAGAGGTCGATTACGAGATTTGTTATTTTCCACAAGCCAGCAGTCATGCAGAAGTGAACATGATCGAAATGTGTACCACAATGTGAAATGAAAGCCTATGCAATATTGTTCCCCTGTGTAATCATATACAGAATACAGGCTGTATCAGAATGATAAGTTCCCCTGCGGACTATTTAATGGCATTATATTCAGCCCGTTTTTACGTTGTTGTGGAAATAACAAAATAATTGTTGAATACCGACACCCTCATTGCAGTCAAAGTTTTTAACAAACCTTTGTTTAGGATATTTAAATCACGAATAATACATATATTTTGCAGAGAGAAAGGGTAAGACACATTTGCGATTTGACAGTAGAGTAGCTGGATAGTGTTGAGCATCAATTGAAAACGGCATTTTGTGTATCTTTTTCATTTTGTTTTGACTGATTATCGAGTTATATCTTTAAATTGTCGCCGGGTGCTGTAGGCATACATTTCACAATATAAAAAAATAATATGTACACAAGTCATAATGTCCTTTACAAGTTCGAAGTATTCCCCATAAAAGTAAGATACGTTCCCCGACGGAATCGACTTAACTGGTAGTGTCTGATGTGATACATGTAACATGATCCTATTTTAATTTGATTATTATATCATACCTTAAGCACAACATTCTTTCTTTTCCTCTAAAGAACGTAAATGGAGTGAGTAGAGAGGGTAACATATCACATTCGCTGTCACAGTTGAAACACTGATTTTCTCTCAGGTCAATATTTTAGTGTGGCTTTCAAACCTCATAATATGACGTCGTTGTACTATGACGTCAACATTTTATGGAAGTACCTAATAACGTTTTCTCAAGGCGTCAGGCGAAACTCTAATTATTTCATTAAAACACACATTTGCATTACAAATAAAAATAATATTAACCCTAATCGATTTTAGAAAATGAATATGTACAGTTCAATGTAGTTTCGAAATATATTATGCAACTATTTGCGGTGTTCTTATTTGTGCGTACAATTCTAACTTGTTATGTACAATACAGACAGATTGGATGGCGAGATAATAAATCAAGCGCTCGAGATAATATGACGAGAGTGCGAGATGATGAGTCGAGCGCTGGAGATAATATGACGAGCGCTGGAGATAATATGTCGATCGCTGGAGATAATATGTCGATCGCTCGAGATAATATTTCGAGCGCTCGAGATGATAAGTTAAGCGCCCAAGATAATATGTTGATCGTTAGAGGTGATATGTCGAGCGCTCGACATAATAAGTCCTAAATGTACCACCGTAATATGTCTGTTATGATCATTAGAGTGCTTGTAGATTTGTTGTTACTACCCGAGTCACCGATGTATTACATTACTTAAGTTCAACTTGGAGATATACATAACGGGTGTCGTCGAAGAAGCAGAAGACGCTTTCCCTTCCGGAACACCTAGTCTAATTATACTCTTTCAATGGTCTTTATCTTCCTTTGTTCGTATTTAACCCCGTTTTATAGATTTGAGTTCAATTTATGATTTTGTTGACACTTCGGTAATCTTTTGTTGTTTTGAGAGTTGATGGATTTGCATTGAAATATATCTGCTAAGAAAACGATATGTGAGACAATATGCAAAATCACTATTTCCTTCAACAATTTCGTTTTGAGGTTATAATATATATCTGAGGTTAACAAATTTTGTTTTTTATCTTTTTAACTTAACTCACCAAAATAGTAGTGAACCCAACAATACGTATTTGTCTAGCAATGCTTTTCTGATAAAAGAGATTTTCCTCAAAATCTATTTTTAAGTTTGGTCCATTTTTTGTTTTCATTATTACTTATTTCAGAGTATAACGGTATTGACATGACTGATATTGTCCACGTTTAGCATAAGGGATGTTTTCAAAAGGAACAGGTTAATAAAACTAGACAATTAATTCGTCAAAACAGTAGGCTATCACTGCAGTGTTAATACAAAGTGTAACGGATGATTCCAGTGGTGTCGCGTTGACTTGATCAAATCTTATGAATGAAATATGAATACATACGGGAAGGCGAGGTAGTTATCGTCTCACTGGAACTCGACCATGCAGAAGAAACTGCCGTTTTGGCAATAACAACAAAGCTGTATTTCCAGTATGCCTTTAACTGAGAGGCTTTACAACCTGAAAATATAATGCGCTTAGTTTATAATTTAACTTCGCATTTTTCGCCTTCTATAATGAGGGCGAATTTATCATGACTGCCAATATAAGTACACAGAACAACGCATATATAACAAATGAAGGCCGAATTAATTACTGACCGATCGTTTCCTGGTATAAAAAAAATATAAGTTATTGCAAATCGGAGGATTCGTCACATAACGAAAGATATCACAATCGCATTTTTGATCGCAAAGAACAGCCATTGCTCTGCCCATCAATTCAACCTGCAGAAACAGGCTCATACTTATTGGTTGAATCAACATACTTTTTTGTTCTCATTGCATATCTTATCAGATATCAGGAATTGGCAATAATGACAACACCATAACTACGAATATAGTATATTGGCAAGGCTAATTACAGTTGTGTATTCATCTATTTCAGAAACGTGCAAATAGAAATGATACAAGAGAGATCCTACGCTCGGCCTGTGATTATTGAAGTCGAGATATACAATGCATATATTTCTTATTTTTATACAGAGTGTATTAATACATACTGGTACTTGGCAGTAGCTGAGCTTCTGAGCATGTTTGGATCTCCGATCTAGATAATATCTCATCTGTTATGTACAAGCTGAAATTTGTAGGTCCGGTTCGGCGGCCGTATGCCCAGGAAACGGTCACTTCATTAGACCCGATGTTACTTATGTTGACTTTGTCCGGGGTATGGGGTTCTAAACGTGTATTATTTAAAAAAAAGGACTATGAAAATGCATGTTATTTTTTATGCTATTATGCATTCACGAAATATGTAATGAACCGCACCATACAAGGACAAACATTAGACAATTGAAAAAGAATTCAAAGAAAAATTGACAAGATGATTTAACACATTATACAGTCATCAGATAGCTTAATATACATGCTATTTTCCCGTTAGTCATATGTGGTAATATCACTATATACATATAACTCATTTTGTAATATTTGAAACTACCAGTTTGTTTTGGGGGTTTTATTTGATTTTGTAAAAACTTTTTTTATTTTGATTAAAATGAAACAAATTATTTCAACGTATATTTATCACTCTTGTTGGACAAGATGTTAGCACGCGGAGGGTCTAAATGTAGGAGGAAACCGGAAACCCACGTGGTCGGGCAGGTGACCCCATACCTTTTCACGTCCGATCGGGGAATCGAACCACGGCCGCCTTGGTGAAAGGCAAGTGCGCTATCCACTGCACCTACCGACCACCCAATTTTTTGACACAAACGATGAATTATTATCAACACTTAGTTTAATCAAGAAGGCAGAAATAATACAATGACAGTTAATTTATTCATTACGAGTTTACTATAGCATGGACAATTTACCTTACGTTGCCTGTCAAAATGAAGTTTATCATTTCATAGACATCGTACTAAAGTCTTAGACATTTTACTTTTAAAATGACGATAGTAATACAGAACCCATTAGTGTTTTAATTTTGTCACTAGAATTCAACCTCAGACTTCACATAAAAAGTGGTGTAACTGTATTGTCAATACAATACTCTTCTTTTTCGAAATATGCAATGTGGCCTTTTAATTTTTCTAGCTTAAAAGCAAGTTGTAAGGCTAGGTCAACACTACGCTGATAAGAGCATGTAATTAGCACTGCCTCCTATTACGGCTGAGCAAGACTCAGCAGCTAATAACATGTAATTAACACTATACCGCATATTAGGCTAGAGCAAGACTCAGTTGCTAACTTCATGTAAATGACACTATACCGTTTAGGAGGCTTGAGCAAGACTCAGCTGCTAATAAGTACATGTGATTTAAACTATACTTCCTATTAGGCTAGACCAAGACTAAGCTGCTATTTACATGTAATTAACACTATACCTCCTATGTTGGTTGTAACGTTTTCAGACCTCTGTGGACCGGCGCCTACATTGTTATGTGCCCGCACTGTCAGCATGTACTCCGTAAACGGTAGTAAACCCCGAACAACAAACTCCAAAGAAGCATCATAGTATACAGTGGTACACGAACGGTCCTCGTACGTTCCATTGTGTCCCTGTGTGGAAGTAAAAACATCTTAGAAATAGCAATAGGTCACTGGTGTGCATCTCAAATTACTGAGTATATATAAATATATAAGAATAATAATTATGGACACTCAGTGTTGAGCGACGGGGCTTTTGGTCGGCAAAATCTAAATGGGCAAGTCAAAATGATTACAACTTACAAATGAAATTTTACTTCATTTTTTGATGAGACGGATGCATGTTACGTTATCATTTCAAAAGGTTCACAAAACAACCTTACAGATCATTTCAAATGAAATTGCTGTTCTCTGTGATCCATAATATATCACTATGCACTAGTATATATATTCTTATAGATTCAAAATAGCAGCTGTCTCGAAATTTTCACATATTTAGTCAGTTACTGACCGTAAAAATAACCCTATAGGGTTCATAAGATAAAAAGCGGAGGGCGAGAGCCAATTTTTCAAATGTATTACAGCGAAAACCAAGTCTGAAACAGAATCTGATCAAATAATATAATGCGTCCATTCATAAAAAATAAAGGATCAAGTCCCCAAGTCAGGGTTAGTTTAAGTGTTGATGTTTACCGTACAAACTGCGGAATTCTATAACGTTGATATTTAGTAAGCATCTGTGTCTTGGTTAATGATTGTATAACGTCTCACCTGGATTTGTAATGACTGCACTCTGCTGCAATCAAAGTCGGCAGTGAGGTTCATGACTATCGCTTGACTTCGTTGTGAGGTAGAGGATATTCTTAGGACGTAGCCAGTTATTTCACCATTCGGTTTAGAAGGCCGGTCAAATCGCACGTGTACAGATGATTCATTTTTGTTTACAGTCCGAATATTTTGAATATTTCCAGGAGCTTAAAACATAAAACAATTCTTTCCCTAAATAAAAAGGAAGCATTTATATATATGTACATGTTTTGTTTCTATTGCTTGAAAATCCTTTGACACGCAATAAAGAGAACTGTAATATGCTTGATACAGAATGGAACTGAAGAACCCTCAACTGTGCTTTTCTCTCATGGAGGAGAGGATATCCAGTTTTGTGTTATGTTTCTGAAACAAGGAAAAGTAGCACCTCACCCGATTCTGCTGTTCTGAACATGGTAGTGAAGTTGTCCTCACTAGTGAAGTCACGATTTTTAGTAAATATCTTCAAGATGTACATTGCGCCTGTGGATAAAAAGAGTATTTATGATGTAAGTATGTAAAAGGCATCGGGGATGACGTGACGTTTTTTCGCCTAAACAAATAGCCAGGTCAATATGTTGTACAGACTGTTTTCTACATCCATGAGCAAAGACTTAGTATCATGCATATACCAATCCTGTACCTGAGGTTATCTCTTCTTTTGTTATAGAATGAGCACAGAGGATATGGTGTTTTTTGGTTGTCCTTAAAATATATGTACAATCTATTTCCGGAGGCTGTGTGCCGGGAGGAACAGTTTGTCTTATACCAATATATACCAGGTCTGTGCAATATCGGATTGTGTTAAATATGTAACCTCCCCATTGATATTTGTAGACACGAACTAATGGGAAAACCAGAAAATAGAACCATCATCCCGCCATATTCTGTGATTGTTCTTCTACTGATACAGCTCAGACAATCTTTGAAAAGTAATATTCAAAACCACATGTCATATATATACTTGTTCACTATCGCCTGGAGTAATTTAATAGGATTTAATAGGATTCAATAGAATATTAATAATGTTTTACCGATCGATAATGAACAAATGGAGAGATCGAACTCGAATACTTCATTTTTGTGGAATGATGTGGAAGGTTTCCACGATTTCAGTGATTTATTTGAGCAGTTATTCAAACATTTAAATAGTGTTGATGCTATAATAAAATTAGATTTTTCGATGTGACGTTACATCTATTCGTAAATTTATGACAATAGCATATTGTGCTAATGGATTGGACCTACCTGGAACAAGGTTATCGATGGTCAGGTTTGTCTGTTTAACGGAAATGTTTCTTTTGAGGTATACTTCAAACTCTTCGTCATCGTAGATTCTGAACAAAACTGTAGCTTCATAATATATGGTCGAACATTCCACATCGCTGTCTGGTTCAATGGCGAGACGGACGCTTGTGGTTTGTATTGATGGTAGTATGGTCACGTTTTTAGGGGGATCTGGAACTGTTAGCAAAAACAATTCACATTTAGTAAGGCTATCTTAAAGAGCTTTGTTTATACTTTAAAAAAATGTAAGTTTTTCCTTTGAGTAAGTTTCATACATCACATTTACCCAACAGAACCATTTTCAGCAGTGTTTGAATATGAGATTGACACAATGATCAGCAGATTGTATGAAAGGTAAGATTACATTACTTATTTCATAAACTTATTTTATAAACTTATTTGAATATCAACATTTGTATAAAAAATCTTCAATGTTTGATATTATGTAATTCAAAGACATCAGTGCGTGCTATGTTTACAGTGTATAGCAAACACCTACCGATGTCGTTTGTGGTGATACTAGTGATGTTTCTGGTATCGCTTGTTACGTTACCACTCACTGCCGTAATGCTCAACCGGTACTTGCGTCCATGCTTCAGCCCGGTCACCGACACGTTTGCTATGTTGGACAGGAATTTTTCAGTAGAGACTCCGGTTGGACAAAGAGGTGTCATATGAATCTGGTATTCGTCAACATGTCCATCAGATTTGTTCCATAGGATAGTTGCATTTGGTGTGTTATATCCTCCGACAGGGATTATTAAAGTACCTGGCATCGCTGGTTCTGAAAAAGGGGGATTTTAAATGTTTGGATATTTGACGGCAAAGTTTCAAAACGCAAAAAATCACCATAAGTAAGAATAGAATTTGTTAAACAGGGATCTGGCCGCCATGTGAACGCGCGCTGCTGTTTAGAGTTCGAGCAACACATTGATCTTCACCATGCCCGAGTTAGACGAATAAAGGAAGGTCATTCGTGGCTTGGTGCAAACATGTGGCTATAGTTGAGAAGACATGTCAAACACTTTAAGGAAAGAATTAGCAACACAAACAATTTACAAACACTGCAGTATAAATAACATTACTTGATAAAATTACATTCGGAGTAAACTTGTACTGTATCCTGATAGTCTTCTTATATTTGAAAAGAAAATGACGATGACTGCCTTACAAAAACATCCGAAACTGGAGACTATTTTTCCAAAGATCGCGAACTGAAAACGTTGGGCTTTTTTCAAGTTTATTCAACTTTGCCTTATATATCAACAGTTTCATAATCTAACCGCAAAAACGGTTTTGAAATTTGGAATTTTGATTTTCAAACATTTCCTTAAAACATTACAAGAAAAAAGGAAAAGCATTTATAGATTTTAGATACTTTAAGACATTTTAAATTTGGATAAACAAACGGTATTTAAAGTTTGTGGTCAAAAAGTAAAAGAAAACCTTAATATGGACGAAAAGAAAACGTTTTAGAATTTAAAATTGTTAAGTGTATCATAGACCAATAGACGTCATTATATTGCCGTTACGAAGTTTGTGTTATGCAAGATAAACGTAAAACATACAGGTGACTTCCCCTTTATAATTACATACAGGTGACTTCCCCTTTACAATTACATACAGTTGACTTCCCCTTAACAACTACATACAGTTGACGTCCCCTTTACAATTACATACAGTTGACTTCCCCTTTACAATTACATACAGTTGACTTCCCCTTAACAACTACATACAGTTGACGTCCCCTTTACAATTACATACAGTTGACTTCCCCTTTACAATTACATACAGGTGACTTCCTCTTTACAATTACATACAGTTGACTTTCCCTTTACAATTACATAAGTTGACTTCCCCTTTACAATTACATACAGTTGACTTTCCCTTTACAATTACATACAGTTGACTTCCCCTTAAAAACTACATACAGTTGACTTCCCCTTTAGAATAACATACAGTTGACTTCCCCTTTACAATTACATACAGTTGACTTTCCCTTTACAATTACATACAGGTGACTTCCCCTTTAGAATAGCATACAGTTGACTTCCCCTTTACAATTACATACAGGTGACTTCCCATTTACAATTACATACAGATGACTTCCCCTTTACAATTTCATACAGTTGATGTCCCCTTTACAACTACATACAGGCGACTTCCCCTTTACAATTACATACAGGTGACTTCCCCTTTACAATTACATACAGTTGACTTCCCATTTACAATTACATACAGTTGACTTCCACTTTACAATTACATACAGGTGACTTCCTCTTTACAATTACATACAGTTGACTTTCCCTTTACAATTACATACAGGTGACTTCCCCTTTAGAATAGCATACAGTTGACTTCCCCTTTACAATTACATACAGATGACTCACCCTTTACAATTACATACAGGTGACTTCCCCTTGACTATTACATACAGGTGACTTCCCCTTTACAACTACATACAGATGACTTCCCCTTTACAATTTCATACAGTTGATGTCCCCTTTACAATTACATACAGGCGACTTCCCCTTTACAATTACATACAGGTGACTTCCCCTTTACAATTACATACAGATGACTCACCCTTTACAACTACATACAGGTGACTTACCCTTTAAAATGACATACAGTTGACTTCCCCTTTACAATTACATACAGTTGACTTCCCCTTTACAATTACATACAGTTGACTTCCCCTTTACAATTACATACAGTTGACTTCCCCTTTACAATTACATACAGGTGACTTCCCCTTTACAATTACATACAGGTGACTTCCCCTTTACAATTACATACAGGTGACTTCCCCTTTACAATTACATACAGGTGACTTCCCCTTTACAATTACATACAGGTGACTTCCCCTTTACAATTACATACAGGTGACTTCCCCTTTACAATTACATACAGGTGACTTCCCCTTTACAATTACATACAGGTGACTTCCCCTTTACAATTACATACAGGTGACTTCCCCTTTACAATTACATACAGGTGACTTCCCCTTTACAATTACATACAGGTGACTTCCCATTTACAATTACATACAGATGACTCACCCTTTACAATTACATACAGGTGACTTACCCTTTACAATTACATACAGGTGACTTCCCCTTCACAATAGCTTACAGGTGACTTCCCCTTTACAATTACATACAGGTGACTTCCCATTTACAATTACATACAGATGACTCACCCTTTATAATTACATACAGGTGACTTCCCCTTTACAATTACATACAGATGACTCACCCTTTACAGTTACATACAGGTGACTTCCCCTTCACAATAACATACAGGTGACTTCCCCTTTACAATTACATACAGGTTACTTCTCCTTTACAATTACATACAGGTGACTTCCCCTTTACAATTACATACATGTGACTTCCCCTTTACAATTACATACAGATGACTTTCCCTTTACAATTTCATACAGTTGACTTCCCCTTTACAATAACATACAGATGACTTCCCCTTTACAATTTGGTGATCATTTCAGTAAACCAAAAATGTAATTACACTGCATCACACGACGGGTGAGAATAGCAAGCTTTTGAATGTCGTTTTTTTAAACTAAATAAACTTCTTATTGTTTTGGTTCAGTTTACAAATACATTTTGTAGTATGTTTGATCACTTCCAGCGCTTGTGATTGTAGTTACAGAATGAACTATGGAGCCAGTGCTCTAGTCAGAACCCTAGTCTAGGACAGTTACATTTCCCTGCGTGAATAGATAGAAATTAATCTCTTTCATGAAGATCAAACCAAGCGCCATTACTTGTTGTAGGAATATTAGCTTGGCGTTCGACAAGAATATTTATGAACACTGTCAAAGTTAGGTCCATTTTATAAACACATTTTAGTTCATGTTATGAGTTGTTTCGTTGAACAAATATTCGCCAGTTAAATCCTTAATACAGGTTGATTATGACTGAGTATTTTTCATGTCTACAACGTTTGTTAGACAGACAGATAGATGAAAAACACATTAAACATTAATTCCAATCTATAATTCAATGATGATACACTTGAAAGAACAATGAGTATTATAAGTATATGCTCTACAAAATAAATCCTTCACTGAACTGATTTTAAATAAAGATACAAATGATACTTACTAAATGCTGTAAATACACTTGCAGCAGACAACGTAATCGGTTCACCATTGAGAACCGGAGTGATTGTTATACTGATTCTCTGTCCAGGAACTGATGAACTTCGAGAGAGAAAGGTCAGGTTAGTATCGTCCATGGATGTGTTTCCAGAGATATTTGTTATTAAGTTGGAGTGAATTTTGCCCGGAGACAAATATTTGTAGGCCCATGTCACATTGAGTTGGGTCTTAGTTGCTGCTAATGTTATATTCGTTGGTGCCAAATCAGTCTCTGAAAATTGAAAAGAAAAGTCATGTTCATGGCAAAATTGAAATTTAATTATTCTGAACATATTTTCTACCGAATCAAATAGAATTGTGCCAACGTTCCGAGCTACATGTATATGCCACTTAACGCTCCTTCCCACTTAAGAGTTTCTTAACAAAATTTTCAAATACATGTAAAACGATATTTAACAAGTATGATATTCTTGTACTTGAATTTCTAAATCATCAAAAATCAACACACAGATGCTAAAAATGAAATCGCATCTTAAAATATATATACATAAAACAAATAAAAGCATGAGAGTGTCGTTTACTATGTAACAAAACACAGGGGAAAGACATTCAGACAAGTTTGAATGAAACGGGGGTTATGTCTTAAAATATATATAACAAAAAACTCGAATTTAAACACAGCTTATGGTATGAATATAGCAAACGGGTGTAGCTTAAGTGCTCATTTTTTAGAATGTAAAGACATTTTAAAAACTTTTTCTAAAACACATTTACATGTTTACATTTTTTTCAAAGATTTTCCGGTTGAGGTATTTTACTTAAATAAAATACGTCAGCAAATTAGAGCGGGAAGTAGCTCAATTTATAGATTGTTTACAATTATTTTTCCATATGTTTCAGATTAAATTAACGTGTACATGTAGTTATGTTCTTTTAACTTTGTAATCATTACAAAATACTTGTGTATCTTACCAAGAGAGCGCCAAACAGTGATTGATGAAGTCACGTGCGTTGGCATCTTCCATGGCATAGGTTTGCACAAGTCAAATATTTTAGTTATTATAAAAACAAATATCGAAATTGCACTGAATATAGATGTAAGGATTGAACCATGTTGCGTTGAGGTTTATGAAGTATAAGCCCCAACGACACTTCCACACAACAGGGTTCAGTTCTGAAATAACTTTTTAAATAGAAAACATTGATCACAATGAATGCCATCTTACAGTACATAAATATATATATATACATATAAGACCAGAAAATATAAGGAAATAATAATACAACGGAACATTTGATGTTCTTTGTACATTTCTAAAACAATTTTAGTGTTAGTTTTAACTGACAGGTTTTCACTTCGAGGGGTTTGTACATTTATGTCAACAACATCCAGATTCAAAGCATCAATAATAAAACCTAGATTACTTCTATGTATTCATAGAGAAGACATATAAAAACGAAATAGCAAACATGCTCACAAGGATGTCCGCAAAAAAAGAAAAACTCTTTACTATGTATACGATTTATGAAGGTACACTAAACCTCTGTTCAAATTCCCTACAAACACTTATCAAATGACAAAATATATAAAATATTTTGCAAACTGGTGACTTTTAAAAAGGGTAATTTTCTTTGTGATTCTTTATGGCAAATGGCAAAATTTTAACGAGTGACAGTCTAACAGAGTGTAAAACGCTTATCTGGTCTAAGTAGCCCTGTTTCTCTTTGACTTAAAAAATGAATGCATACATTTTACTTTAATGCCATCAATTCTTGTTCAAACGCTCAAATAAATAAGTGATACCCCTTGGCATTGTAAAATCTCTTTTCAAATAATTTCGTTCCGATGACCTGAGTGAGGACGTACGATTCTATATCCAGCATTTGAGAAATATAATAGCAAGCTTAAAGACAATAATCAAGCGAATACAAATCGAATAGCTGGTACCCTAGCTACCAACAAGATGTATATAGGATGAGAGATTGACTTCAGAGTATGCTTCCTTCTTCCAGCACCTCATAAATAAAGGATATTGCATGAGTTTCCATTTCATATGAGATTTATGAAACGAGTCTAAGAATTTCATCCATTTCATATGAAATGAAAACGAGTGTAAGATCCTTTATATCACATAATCAAGATTTGTGGCATTTATTCGTGGAAAACGACAATTTTCATGCAACCTTGAAATGTAAAAAGCCGCCATTTTTACGCCAGTGCGTAAGTTTGTAACGTCATGTACTTGTCCTAGGCGTGACGTCACAATTGATACAAACAATCACAGGGCTGAAAGGTCATATAACATGTGTTAATATGCAAAAAGATATGCCATGGGTATATTCACTGGATAACGCACTACATTAGGTGATAAATAGACTTACGTTTACTGCAGTAGAAACAATGTAGCTTATATAAATAAGATGTTTTCTGAAAGATATACGCTTATTTCTTTGCTTTGCGTACTTGCTAAGATAATCCTTTTTATGCTTTTATCATAAGTAGTATTTCAGTGAATGAGTCAATAGCATGAAGTACTACTAATGCATCATAATGTCGCCTAACGAACGATGGAAATGGGAAATGGATTGAAGTGATATAAACTGCAATGCATTCTGGAAGAGATTGAAAGTCATATCTTAATTAAGTTTGTTGATGATCTTGTATTTATAGAAGTTGAATAAAATTTAAAATGGCGTGAAAAGAAATCTTGAAAAGGAACGAACACTTAAAAGCGTTCCGAAAACACTACTGGAAAACTGTACAAGTGTTGGATGAAATAATTCATAGGTGCAAGGGTCAAAAAAGGAAGAGTTAGATGAAGGCAGGGCCATTTATATCAAACTATACCTCTAGGTTAACTCCCTTTAACTCCACCAATAAAGAGAAGATCAGTCGTGAATCTATTTTGTATGATCAGTAACTCTTTCTGACGAAGTCGCAGTCGCATACCATTTCCTTTTTTTTTTTTTTTTTTTTTTTTTTTTTTTTTTTTTTTTTTTTTTTTTTTTTTTTTTTTTTTTTTTTTTTTTTTTTTTTTTTTTTTTTTTTTTTTTTTTTTTTTTTTTTTTTTTTTTTTTTTTTTTTTTTTTTTTTTTTTTTTTTTTTTTTTTTTTTTTTTTTTTTTTTTTTTTTTTTTTTTTTTTTTTTTTTTTTTTTTTTTTTTTTTTTTTTTTTTTTTTTTTTTTTTTTTTTTTTTTTTTTTTTTTTTTTTTTTTTTTTTTTTTTTTTTTTTTTTTTTTTTTTTTTTTTTTTTTTTTTTTTTTTTTTTTTTTTTTTTTTTTTTTTTTTTTTTTTTTTTTTTTTTTTTTTTTTTTTTTTTTTTTTTTTTTTTTTTTTTTTTTTTTTTTTTTTTTTTTTTTTTTTTTTTTTTTTTTTTTTTTTTTTTTTTTTTTTTTTTTTTTTTTTTTTTTTTTTTTTTTTTTTTTTTTTTTTTTTTTTTTTTTTTTTTTTTTTTTTTTTTTGTATAATCATTTAATAACCCAGGCATGCATACGTCTTACGTGGGTTGTCTGTGGATGGGCTGCCCCAGCTACAACCCACAATACATGAAACACTCTCTATTTTTTCTTTTTTCGCAAATCAACACTTGTTCATTTTTTTCTCTCTCACATTTCACAACCTCATACTGTTATTTCTTCTTTTTTACCTCACTTTTTTATACTCTCGTTCAAAAACCCCCTCACACGGGGTTAACAAAAAAATAATAACACTGAAATTTTGTCCGGTTTCCGGGTTCCTTAGTTATGTGTTTTCATGTATTTCCGCTGATTGTTGTGCACAGGGTGTGCGAAGGATTACAGAATGATTAAAAGTGGGAATTATTATATATTTAAATGACTGTGAAAGCTATTAATATATTTCCAATGCCTCAGTTATATTGTTGTTCATGTTGTGTGACCCTGTTATGTTCAGTATTTCTAACTCAATGTCCCAAAACATGACAAGGACAAATTCAGGCAATAATATGGGGGGACAAATTGACAGCTGGGCGTTCGTAGGTGTAGGTATACCTCAGTGGTAGTGAACGGACGACAGACAGATGCAGTACGCTAATAAATGTTCCTCCGATAAAACCAGTATGAAACTAATAAATGAATAACTTGACTAGGCATGCCTTTTATTAATACCATCTTGTTGATGATCTTTTCAGTCTGCATATTTAAACAATACACAAAGTATTTACCTTTTACACACGTGAGATTCCTCGTTGAGATGAATGCGTCAGGACACACACAAACGGTTTCTTTAGAAGTTTGGTTATCTGGACTGGACTTGAATGTGTAATTACACTGGACCTGCGTGTCAAGTGTAACTTCCGGTGTTGATCCCATTGACGTATTTGGCAAATCTGTCATTGACGGCGAAAGTGTCGTTGAAGATGGCGTTGTTGTTGATATGGGTTGCGTGATTGATTCTGGCGTTTGAGGTAGTTCCTGTGATGTAAACAACGATGAAGAAGGAAGCGTGACATTATCTGATGTTGGGTCCTGGCATAACACTGAGAAGGCCTGAAAAGGAAACACAATTTGAGTCTCCGAGTTTGATACAATAAAATACAGAAATGGAATAGAATATTCAAATCTTAATTAATTGAACACGAGGACGATCCTCTGCACTTCCAGTTTAACTTCTGTAAACATCAAACTCACTTCGCTTTATCTGTTATTCCACTTGTTTACTAAATATATACTCTTTATAAACCTACAACTATGCAAACTCCCGTGCCTTAGCCCGCCCAAACAAAATGAATTTTGTTTGAAATTCAAAATATAGTTGCCGAATGTAAAAGAGAAACCCACCTCCCTAAGCTCAGCAACGCTGAATCTATTGTTTCCATCTGAATGCGAAACATTGACAGGTTGATTATGAAGTTTTCTTTAAATTAAACAATTATAAAAGCTGAATTGCATATGGTTGGCACCAGACCACTTCTAGGTTCCAATTTTCAGGACACAGCCTGTGCATTGCGCCATAGTCGCTCGCACACAAGGCTTTGGCGCAAAAATAAAACAAAGACAACGCTTCAAAACTGTTGGACCCCACTCCCCGATATCTAAGTTCATGGAGAAGCCTGTTGAATTTTCCTACCCCATAACTCCAAAACCAACCAGCATCCCCCGTCTGCAGGATCCAAACTTACGATAATGTGGGCACTAGCTCGACTGTGACATATGACTTTCAACCACTAGTCCAACTGCTTACGAAACAAACTACGAGTTAATAGGCAGACAATGAAGTAAAGCCAGGTCGAGAGTGTCGGATTTATAGAATGTAATACACAGATTGTATGTATAACGCCAACGGACACAATAAACTCAATAACTTAACAAATCACTACAAAGATTAAACGAAAAACACCAGTTCAAAAAGAAGAACATGTATTTGTGTTTTTTTTAATATCAATAGATTCGGTAAAACCACTAAAGTGCTTGTTAATTACATGCAATCAGGCATTGATCCCTTGAGAATGGTGGTACATGGTATAACCTGATATACCTGAAATATTCTACGGCGAACATGTGAAACTATTTCAAATAAGATTGTTACAAAATAATACCACGAAAATGAATAATTGGCACATTTCGTTTTTTAAATTGATTATAAATAAAATATAATGGCTGAATAATATGGAGGGGCATGAAGAACATCAAGAGCATCAACAACAGAAGCAAAAAAACAATTACCAACAAGACCAAGAACAAGCAAAAAGCAACAAGAACAAGTATAAGAACTACAAAATCAGGAATATAACAAAACTTGAAAAGCAGCAAAAGCGGTATGTCAAAACCTTAGGGAAGTACAATTGTAAGTTTAAATTAATCATAAGAAACAGTTAACACGTCCCAAATGTTTTTTGGGCGACACGATGATGCATGTAATATCAACTAAGGGAATGTTTACCCCAAAACATTTTGGGCGTAATTACTAACACAAGCAATATAAATAAAAGCTGTAAATTATTTGTTGTATTTATCTGTGTAATTTGATGAAGTAATAACTGTTTGTACATGTACTAATACACATTTGTGTTATGGGCGCATATCACAGCTCGGTGTTAACTAACATGGTACAACAGGACTTCCTGCTAAAGAGGTTGGTTCCCGGTATTATTTTTATAACCATTGTCGTTAATTTTGCATTAATGTTGCTGTATCATCTTCATTTATTTTATAAAACGTTGTTAGTGAAACCGCGACAAGTTTATTATCGTTAGTCTATGCAGTTTCCGGGAGTCGTCCGACCATCATTTAAATCTTTAGCATGTGTAATCCCCTCCTAGGTCATATTACAAGAAACTTCCCGTGTGATCCTGCATATGTCCGGAAACTAATATCAAGAAAACAGAAATATATAAACAAAGCATTGCCTAAACGGTACGCGCATTAAGTTTCAAGGCAAGGACAAATACATGCGAGGCGTTTTGAGTGTACGTGTGACAACACGATTGGTAATCAATAAAAAATAAAAAATAAAACATGTGACAACACGATGGGTCGTCAATAAACAAGTGTGACAACACGTAGGTCGACAATAAACAAGTGTGACAACACGAGAGTAAGCAATAAAAAATAAAAAATAAAACATGTGACAACACGTTGGGTCGTCAAAAAACAAGTGTGACAACACGATTGGTAAGCTATAAAAAATAAAAAATAAAACATGTGACAACACGTTGGGTCGTCAAAAAACAAGTGTGACAACACGATTGGTCGTCAATTAACAGGTGAGACAACACGATGGGTCGTCCATAAACAAGTGTGACAAAACGATTGGTCGTCAATTAACAGGTGAGACAACACGATGGGTCGTCCATAAACAAGTGTGACAACACGATTGGTCGTCAATTAACAGGTGTGACAACACGTAGGTCGACAATAAACAAGTATGCCAATACGCAGAGTCATCAATAGATAGGTGTGACAACACGAAGGATAGTCAAGAAAATAGTTTGACAACACGAAGGGTCGTCAATAAACAGGTGGGACAACACGAAGGGTCATCAATAGACAATTGTGACAACACGAAGGGCATCGATTAACAAGTGTGACAACACGATTGGTAATCAATAAAAAATAAAAAATAAAACATGTGACAACACGACGGGTCGTCAATAAACAGGTGGGACAACACGAAGGGTCATCAATAGACAATTGTGACAACACGAAGGGCATCGATTAACAAGTGTGACAAAACGATTGGTCGTCAATTAACAGGTGAGACAACACGATGGGTCGTAAATAAACAAGTGTGACAAAACGATTGGTCGTCAATTAACAGGTGAGACAACACGATGGGTCGACAATAAACAAGTATGCCAATACGCAGAGTCATCAATAGATAGGTGTGACAACCCGAAGAGTCATCAATAGTTAAGTGTGACAACAAAAAGAGTCATCAATAGATAGGAGGGACAACACGAAGGGTCATCAATAACCAGGTGTGACAACACGATGGGTCGTCCATAAACAAGTGTGACAAAACGATTGGTCGTCAATTAACAGGTGAGACAACACGATGGGTCGTAAATAAACAAGTGTGACAACACGATTGGTAAGCTATAAAAAATAAAAAATAAAACATGTGACAACACGTTGGGTCGTCAAAAAACAAGTGTGACAACACGAAGGATAGTCAAGAAAATAGTTTGACAACACGATGGGTCGTCCATAAACAAGTGTGACAACACGAAGAGTCATCAATAGATAGGAGTGACAACACGAAGGGTCATCAATAGACAAATGTGACAACACGAAGGGTCGTCAATAAACAGGTGTGACAACACGATGGGTCATGAATAGACAAATGTGACAACACGAAGATCATCAATTAACAAGTGTGACAAAACGATTGGTCGTCAATTAACAGGTGTGACAACACAATGGGTCGTCAATAAACAGGTGTGACAACACGACTGGTCGTCAATTTAGAAGTGTGACGACACGATGGGCCGTCAATAAACAAGTGTGACAACACGTAGGTCAACAATAGATAAGTGTGACAACACGAAAGGTCATCAATAGACAAATGTGACAACACGAAGGGTCGTCAATAGACAAATTTGACAACACGAAGGGTCATCAATAGTTAAGTGTGACAACACGAAGGGTCGTCAATAGACAAATTTGACAACACGAAGGATCGTCAATAAACAGGTGTGACAACACGATGGGTCGTCAATAGACAAATTTGACAACACGAAGGGTCATCAATAAACAGGTGTGACAACACGACTGGTCGTCAATTTAGAAGTGCGACGACACGATGGGTCGTCAATAAACAAATGTGACAACACGAAGGATAGTCAATAAACAAGTTTGCCAACACGATGGGTCGACAATAAACAAGTGTGACAACAGGGGGTTATCAAAAAAGTGTGACAACACGAGAGGTAGTCGATTAATAAGTGTGACAATACGATAGTTCAACAATAAACTGGTGTGACAACACGAAGGGTCATCAATAAACAAGTGTGACAACACAATGGGTAGTCAATAAACAAGTGTGACAACACGAAGGGTCATCAATAGACAAGTGTGACAACACAAAGGGTAGTCAATTAAAACGTGTGACACCACGACAGGTCATCAATAAACAAGGGTGACAACACGAGAGGTAGTCAATTAACAAGTGTGACAGCACAATGGGTCGTCAATATAAAAGTGTGACAACACGAAGGATAGTCAAGAAAATAGTTTGACAACACGAAGGGTATTCCATCACAAATGTGACAACACGAGGAGTTTTAATCAAACAACGGTTTAATAACACGAGAGGTTGTCAGTAAATAAGTATGACAACATGCGCGTACGATGGGTTAACAACAACAAGCGTGACACTACGAGGGGTAGTCAATATATGTGTAACAACACGAGGAATAGTCTATGTACGTCTTACAACACAAGGAGTAGTCACTTTACTTATGACAACACGATAGGTTGTCAATAAATAAGTGAGATAAGTTTCTCGTAATGCACCCTGCACCCCCC